TGGTCGGAACATTTGTCACACCTCACACAAATTATGCAAGCCTTGAGGGAGCACAAACTTTATCTCAATTTGCCAAAGTGTGAGATTGCAGCTACTCAAGTTTATTTTTTGGGCTTCATTGTGTCCGGTGAAGGAGTCAATACCGATCCTGCTAAGGTTGCCGCCGTGCGTGACTGGCCCACTCCTCGTTCACTGTTCGACGTCCGAAGTTTCCATGGCCTTGCCAATTTCTACAGGAGATTTATCAGAGGTTTCAGTATAATTATGGCACCGATTATTGACTGCCTTAAGAACAAGCAATTCCAATGGACCGAAGAGTGTCAACGTAGCTGGGACACCATCAAACAATCACTGAGTTCTGCCTCGGTGTTGGCCTTACCGAATTTTGAAATTCCATTCCAAGTTGACACGGATGCGTCGGCTGTGGGAATTGGAGCAGTACTGTCCCAAGACAACCGACCCATTGAGTTTTTTAGCGAGAAGCTGAGCCCGGCGCGACAGAAGTGGACCGTGTATGAGCAGGAACTATACGCCGTCATCCGCGCTCTCAAACATTGGGAACATTATTTACTACATCAAGACTTCGTCTTATGTAGCGATCATCGTGCCCTCCAGTTCATCAATAGCCAAAAGTCTATATGTCGAATGCACGCTCGTTGGGTACTATTCTTGCAAAAATTTACATTTGTTCTTAAACATAAATCTGGCAACCAAAATCGTGTCGCCGATGCTTTGAGCCGACGAACCGCACTTGTCACTCAGCTCCAGACCGAGCTCACTGGCCTTGACTGTCTACGGGAACTCTATCCCACCGACCCAGATTTTGCTATTATATGGAAGCAGTGCAGTTTACAACAACCAGTTGATGACTACTCCCTAAGGCATGGGTACCTGTTCAAGGCCAATGCCTTATGTATTCCGGAATCCTCATACAGGCAGCAGATTATCAAGGATGCACACGCTGGTGGGCTTGCCGCACACCTGGGACGGGAGAAAACAATTTTCCAGGTGAAATCGCGCTTCTTTTGGCCGAAGTTGCATAGGGACGTCTCCAGGTTTGTTGAAAGACGTGCTGTGTGCCAAGAATTTAAAGGTACCAAACAAAATGCCGGATTGTATACTCCACTCCCTATTCCCGATTCCATTTGGGAGGACATTAGCATTGATTTCATTCTGGGTTTGCCACGAACACAGAAGGGGGCTGACTCTATTATGGTAGTGGTAGTCCGTTTTTCAAAAATGGCGCACTTCGTCGCCTGCAAGAAAACTTTTGACGCTGTCCATATTGCCCAATTGTTTTTCTGTGAAATTGTCCGACTGCATGGACTTCCCCGGAGCATCACGTCTGATCGAGACGTCAAGTTCGTAAGTCACTTTTGGCGCGAACTGTGGAAAAGACTGCATACAGACATCAATTTGAGCTCTGCCTATCATCCTCAATCAGACGGTCAAACTGAGGTAGTTAATCGAACACTTGGAAACATGCTGAGATGTCTGGTTCAGGGGCGGCCGAAGCAATGGGAACGAACAAGCTCTCGGTCAAGCGGAGTTTGCCTACAACTCCATGTCCAACCGATCCACAGGGAAGTCACCTTTTTCATTTGTCTATACTAAAGCACCCAATCATTTATTTGACATTGCTATTCTTCCAAAATGTGCTAATGCGTCGGCAGCAGCCCTCACCGACAATTGTCAAGAATTTTAGACGAAGTGCGTATGAAGCTTATCACCTCCAATTCAAAATACAAGCAGGCCGCTGACACTCGTAGGCGATTCGTGGCATTCGAACCAGGGGAGCTCGTAATGATAAGGCTTCGCAAGGACCGTTTTCCTCCCGGGGCGCTGTCCAAATTAAGTCCTTGCAAATTTGGTCCTGTGCCTATCCTCAAGCGTATAAATGACAACGCTTATACTGTCGATCTTCCAGATCATTTCCAGACATCTAAGACCTTCAATGTTGAAGACATATTCCCGTATCATCCTCCAGATGGCAGCACCGAGCAAACCATTCAGGTGGAACCTGAAACTTCTACAGTGGAGGGTACCTGATGTGGTACAGTATATGCTTACATTGGAACGCCAGTCCAGCAGCTTCATGCCGTTACAAGGGACAGCCTTACTACACGTTCTAGTACCTTTTCAATTATGCTAAGTAGTATTACCTAGCCACTACTTACTACTATTATTAGCCTAACAACTTTTTATTTCACAGTTTCCACAACTCTTATTTTACAGCATATACATATATCCTGTAAGGAAGAAAGAAAAGGCATCAATAGATACAAATTCAAGTTCCTGTTCCATTGCCTTTGTGCTCTTGTTTCTTTGTGCAGGTCTTCAGACTGTCTTCTCCGGCGACGAGCAGTGGAAGTTCAAATCACCATTTAGGGTCTAGCATTGTCTTTTTATACGGAGAATTACAGAACTCAACTCTATAAATGTATAATTTTTTTATTTTTATTCATGCAAATTGATCTATTTCGTTAGGAGACTTATTAAGTTTGCTAAACATACAAGTTCAGGAAATGATTTTCTATCCCTATCTTCATATCCATATTTAGACACTAAAAAAAGCACTATAAAATATAGTGGATAATAGGAGCTACGGCGATGACTAATTATATGTTAATTTAACTCAAAGTAATAATTTTTTTTTCATTTTAATAAAGGTCATTAATAATTTTGATATTCCCTAAAAATATATATATGAGACTTGGAATTTCACCTAGAACAAAACCTGATTATTCATTTATAAACATAAAATTATATCTTCACCGTTCATTTTGGACGCTTTCCTTTTCGATTCCAATAGCACATCGTTCTCATTGCCGACCAGTTTAAAAAAATTAACACTTTCACCCTTCTAGTTCAATGCCGATCGGTGTCTCATTTAGCCAAGCTTTTGCTGTCCAACGTTTCTCTATTAATTGCATGTATGAATGTGTTGGATGCACTTTTCATCTTCAACCGAGCGTTACTTCTTCTTCACAACCGAGTATTTCTTTTAATTTTTTCGCATCTAAGCATTTCTTTCTCTTCACAGCCGAATGGGTTTCTCAGCTTTCCCTCATATGAGCGTTTCTTTTTCTTCACAGCCGAATGGTTATTTAAGCTTTCCCAAATGGCGTCTGAAATATATTAAAAAAATTTTTCACCAAGCAGTGCAACAGCCGAACGCTAAGACTATAAAATTTTGGTTTCTTCAGCTTTCCCCGGAATCAAATACAACTTCTCCCTCTCGCTCATGCATGTTTCACTCTTCTCCTTCTCACCGAACATGTACTTTGTTTTTTTCCCGAACATTGAGTTGAGCAAAAAGGAGGAGATTTAATTTAAATTTACTTCTTCTTAGTTGGGTAATCTTTCTTTCTATTGATGCTTTTAACTTTCCTATTGTAATTTAAAAATATTCTCGACTGTTGCTGCAGGGAGCCAAATCCATAGATATTCATAGAGAATAATTGGAGTGGTTGTAGTTAAATTTTGTGCTTGCCAACAAAGGCAAATTATAGTAACTGGAGTTTGATGATAGGTACGTATTGCGCCAAAGCAACCACAACGAAACACAGTAGACCTTTTTGACTAACTAAAATATGCTTGGATATAAATATAATTGTATTGTAAAATTTTCTGTAGGATTTGATCGATTTTGGTGCGATCAGTATAGTATAAAACTGGTTTTTATAGAAAAAAAATTGATGTCACCTTTGGCAATTGTACTTGTAAAACACAATTTTTTTTTTTATTTTTAAATTATTACAAGACTCATACTCTCAGCTGCTTAAGTCATATACCAATTTGTTGAGGTCACCATATATTCTTGTCGTTAGAAGCAGCTACATGAGGCAATCTATCCATTTTCTTATTCTCACCTTTCTCAAGCTCTTATTTTCTCAATTTTCTCCTGCATGATTTGCAAACATTTAAATTTGTGTTGTGGTTCATGAATTTTTTTAATATTGATTCATGTTTAAGATTCAATAACATAAAATAGTGTGATAGTAGCAACGAATCTTCTTCCAAGGTTTCGTTTGGGACGACTTTTTTATTGCTTTTTAAAACGGAGTTTTAGTACTAAAATTCTGTTTTAAAAAATAAAAAAAAGCCGTCCCTAACGAAGCCTAATTCTTTCTCAAATGTATATGCAACTGCTAAAATTTATTCACTGACATCCGACTTGATAACTTTTTATTATTTTGTTGTTATATGTATGCCTGATTGGCTTGAGAGAATAAATTAATGATTTCTCCATGTGGACTTTAATTCAATTTATTTTAATGAACTGCATATTTGTTTTGCTTGAATTACTTTCAATTTGAAGTGCAAGTTAATAATCTGATTTGTTTGATGGCTTCTTTGATGAATTGTTAATTTAATTTGGTATATTTATTCTTTCTATATCATCCATTTCTTCAAGTTGAGTAATTTTTTAAATTAGAATTGATCTTGAATTTGAGCTATATTAGTTAATTGGATTTAAGCTTGTGCCCGAGCTTTTAGTTCTATATGCACATTTTGGCATTAAATCATAACTTTGCTATATATTCTTTTATAAATATGATATCCTCATTTTTTATTAGTTTGTCTACAAACAATTTAAAATCTATGTTTCCTCTCTTTGATCTAAAGCAATCGAAAATAAATACTATTGATAATTTTTAATTATTCACACTTTTGTTAGTACTTCAAATTTTAAATTGCAAGCTTATATAATTTGTCATATTCAATTAATATACATAAAAATTACATCAGTACTTATGAAGTATTTATCATTATCAAGATCTATTAATGTGTCTATTTAAAAATTCATCATTCATATTTATTATTTAAAGCCACTATTATAAAAAAAATATTCTAAATATTATTTAATTTAATATTGTGAAAATTAATAAAAATTTAAATTGTTTATTTATATATTATAAATGTAATTATTTTATATTATTTATTTAATAAAATTTCATTTTTATTATTTTCTTATTAATTTTAAAATTATAGCAATATGCAATATCCACGGTGCGATGGACGGCGCCGCCGCTTCCACCACCTCTCCATCGAACTCGCCGCCGCCTTCTCCGCCTCCGGATCTTCTAGCCAAAGGAACAATGATCACCGTCTCTCGCCACTACTTCAGTGAGGAGTCTGCGAAGGATTCCCACTGTTTTCACATCGACATCATGGAGGCATCCTCATTTGCCCTAATTTTAATTTATACTTCTTGTTCGTGTTGAGAATCTTTCGATTTGTGCGAGTTCGATTTATTCAACTTCGTAATTTTATGTTACTCTGGAATTGAGCTTTTTTGAGTTCATAAAAAGCATACAATTTCTTATACTAAAGGCTTCAAGTGCATGTCTGTTCCGTAGTTTCCCTACTCTCTGGACATCCTTAACTTCTTCCTTCTTCTCTCTACGCCTCTCTATGGACTGCATCTTTCTGCAAACCTACGTTTCTCTTGCAGTTCTGCTAGTTCTATTTTTTGCCATATTTTTTCTCATATTTTGAATTTTTTTCCTCTTTCATGGAGATGAAATTTAATGCAGTTTCATATTTACAGAACATGGAAGAAAATTATGGCATGTTTGTGTGGCCTTGTAGTATAATCCTCGCTGAATATGTTTGGCAGCAGAGGTCACGGTTTGCAGGAAAGAAGTTGGTTGAGGTACTTTTCATTTGTTCTCCTTATACGACTTTCTACATTTTATTCCTTTTGATGAACAAGGTTAGAGAAGAGTAAAATGGATAAATAGTACTACAGTCGACGAAGATGTTGCAAAGATTAACTTTGTTATGGAGAGTGTCGAAGTTAAGCAACTGATTTAAGCACGTAAACAGATAGGATCAGAAAGGTCAAAGTACGAACTTTGGCATCTTAAAGCTAGAAGAGACACAATATAGAGTTTTCTCCAGCAACATCCATGCATTACATTGACTTAGTCGAGGTTCGACCTTCATAGCAAGCTGTTCGTGAGGAGGTAGCCCCTCAAAGAAGTCTAATATTTGTGGATTATTTTAGTAAGAAGGTGTTTTAAAAAAAATGTTGTATTTTGACTATCCAAGAGTTTAAACAATAAATTTGCAGCAACGACACGAGGGGTTGTCTTTATGCTATATCCATGGAAGCAGGTTTATACCACTATCGGCTATATGAATCATTTTTCTGCATTGCGTCATACTAAGAGTCAAATTCTCATTTAAATCTAATAAAAATAGCCCAAATCTAATACATCTACTAAGGGAGCAGGAATGGATTTATTGATCAAGACTATCGACGAATCCTTTCACTATGGATGCCTGGGGCGTCACACTAAGAGTCAAATTCTCATTTAAATCTAATAAAAATAGCCCAAATCTAATACATCTACTCTCATAACTGGTTCATCGGTAGACTAACGTTTTATGTGACCAAACCATCGAAGGCGACTCTCTCTAATCTTATGTTTCACTGGAGCTACTCCAACCTTTTCCTTTTATTCTCGTTTTGTACTCTGTCTCCAACAGTAAAGTCACTATCCACCTGAGCATCTTCATCTTTGCAACACTTAACTAATTTCATCATTCTCTTTTAATCACAAACATTCTACCCTATAAAGCATTGTAGGTCTTATCACGATCTTATAAAATTTTCCCCAAGTTTTAGGAGTACTTTTCTAATACACAATAGACCCGATGTTTTTCTCCACTTCAACCATCCAACTTGAATTCTACTTATAATATCCCCATAAATTTCACAATTACTATGAACAATAGACCCGATATATCTAAAATTTGTATTCTTTTTAATGATTTGATTGTCCAAAGTCACAATCCCTCAACTAGATCTATTTCTACGAAAATTACACTCAATGTATTCGGTTTTAGATGTGCTCAAACAAAAACATTTGGACTCTAAGGTTAACCTCTATAATTCAAGTTTTCTTTCGACTTCCTATCTAGTCATAAGAAGAATGTCATCAGCAAAAAGCATACTCTAGGGTATATCCTCTTGCAAATGTCTAGTAAGAGCATCAATGACTAAAGCTAGAAGAAATGAGCTTAAAGGCTAAAGCTGATCCTTAATGTAATCAAACTGAAATAGGAAAATATTTGGTCAAAACACCTTGTGTTTGAACACAAGTAACAAACAACTATTAACTCATGCATATATATCCTTAATGACAAAAGGGTGGGGTTAAAAATTGTTATATAAAAATCTTCATATGTTATATATGTGTGTGTGCTCCCTTTATCTGCATTGGTTTTGGTTTATTTTTATTGGTGCTTTTATGTTTATGTAAAGCATTAACACCTTAAAGATTGAACTGTCCACTTCATTTCCTTTTACAACAACAACATCAAGCCTTTGTCCCACTACGTGGGGTCGGCTACATGAATCCTTTTTCGCCATTGTGTCCGGTTAAAAGTCAAATTCTTGTTTAAATCTAATAAAAGAAGATCATTTCTAATATTTTCTAACCAAGTCTTTTTCGGTCTACCTCTACCTTTCTTAACAGAACTCAAATCTATTCCCTCAACTTTCCTAACCGGGTCATCGGAAGGCCTCTGTTTAATGTGACCAAACCATCTAAGGCGACTCTCTCTAATCTTATCTTCCATTGGAGCTACTCCAACCTTTTCACGTATATGCTCATTTCTTATCCTATCTCTAAGGGTCAAGCCAGCTTCTCTTTTAATGGCCAACATTTGGCACCATAAATCATTACAGGTCTCACCACCATCTTATAGAATTTTCCCTTAAGTTTGAGGGGGACTTTTCTATCGCACAATAAGCCCGATGCATTCCTCCACTTCAACCATCCAACTTGAATCCTGCTGATAATTTCTCCATCAATTTCACCATCACTCTGAACAATAGATCCAAGATATCTAAAACGTGTACTCTTATTAATGATTTCACTTCCTTCTGCTAATTTTATTTATTTACAGAATGTCCTAAATATGGGCATTTGATTCATATAAGGTGCCTGAGAAGGTGGCTTCGTATAATGTACTTTTATACACTTAAGTGATTCATTTTGCCTAACAGCTAGGCGCTGGAACATCTCTTCCCGGTTTAGTTGCTGCTAAAATTGGAGCAGATGTAACATTGACAGATGATTTGCATAAACCAGAGGTATGTCAAGCATCTTTTTCTATTGCAGATTTTTTGCTGCTTTTAATAGTAAAAGAATTACCCGAATATGTTTCAACCATAAGTTTTTTTCACATCCAACTCTAAATACGCATTAAACTTGGCACAGCAAATGAGAAACTTAGGACACTCAGTTCTGAATAGGCAGGGGGTTCTTTGTATTGATAATATTCTAATGATTTTTGGGCTTCTTAGTTTACATTTTTCTGCTAGTCAGCATCTGAAATTATTTTTATGTTTTGCTTCTTCGTTAAGCTGAGTTTGGAACCTTTTTTCATGCTTTGTTGAACCATAAGGATGACAGAATTTTTCCGTGGGACAGCTGCAGACCCACTAAATGCTAAAATTTCCAATGATTAGATTTAGGATGTTATTGGGCCTATGTTTTCTAATGCAACTTTAATATGAAACTTAAGAAGTCATGCAATATGCATTTAAAAAATGCTTCTCACAAACTGTTAATCTTTAACAATTTTTCATTGCCTCCTATGAAAATTAAAAATACGATGGAAATCAATTTATTTAAAAATTAATTGCCTTATATTAGAAAATTTGGATGAAAAAACTGCACAAACACTTTAAAATTCAAGTGCTTGTGAAAAATTAGATTGCATTAAACTTGATTAAAATTAGTCACATTTTTAGGAAAATAATTAAATATAGAATAATAAAATAGGAATAAGGGAAATAATTCACCAAAATGAAGCAAGTCTTTTTTGTGTACGAGGAGATAACCTCCTCTATAATTCTTCAAGTCTCTCACTTGATGAAGGAATTGAGTCATAGAAGTAGAAAGTATGATATCTAACTAAAAACTTTATTCAATGACCATTAATTTTTTGCATACATGTTTTAAGGTTCCTATTGTAATCATGAATCTCATTATCAATTCATGTCAACCAACCCTCAAAAAAGTTGTAAGAGAGAGTACAACAACAACAACATCGAGCCTTTGTCCCACTACTTGGGGTCGGCTACATGAATCCTTTTTGAATATTGAACATGCAATCATTGGATATTGAATATTCAATAATTGAAGCTTCCAAAGCCGCAAAAATCGCTAGAAGTAGAGACTCAATCACCTAGTAAAAAAAATAGAGGGTTCTCTTATGAAAGTTTGTAGGAAGCAAAACAGAAGCCACTAGTAGATCACAAGATATAGAATCGGATATCATAAGTTTTTAAATATAGAGTAATTAAAGGCGCTGGTAACCGAAAGCCCATTGAAATGTTGGTAGAGAAAAATAAAGTTGCAGTAGGTTTATGTCACAATTCTTATAAATAATGTCTAACTTGGACAATTTTATCTTCAAGGAATTGTTTAGCCAATACTATTCCAATAGATTTAAGGATAACTCTTGGATATACTCTCACATTCTTTTTAGGGGGAGATATAAATGGGAAAAAATTAATAATTTATCCTCTGAAATTAGTTTCTAATGACGCCACTGTTCCTATACTTGATGACTTTGAGATACAGAAATTATGTTCATTTGGCCCAGAACATTCCTCTAGATTACGTGTTTTTTCTCTAAGGATGAATCTACAAAGAAGTGCAACCATTTTACCTCCTAAAGATTGTCATGAATCTTGCATGGACTCGATAAACTCACAAACTCTTCTCTTGTGTTATTACTGTGGAATTACCCATTGTTTCAGGTAAAAAAGAGCATACCTATACTCAACATTCTCTAGCAAATGTGGCAGAATTTGATTATTTTCCTCCTATATAAAACACTTAGTCTCCAACCTAGCCCAGATTGAAATTCCAAAGAGATAAAATATGCTCTTAATAATCCAAAATGGTTTGAGACAGTTGAAGAGGAGATAAAACATTTGAAAAAAATTTAACATGTGAAGTTAGTCAAAGAACCAAGGATGCCATTGTCCCTATATTATATGATCGACTATTTTGAAACCTTAGCTTCTATATGGCAAAACTTAGCATCATTTGAGTCCTTTTAATGGCATCAACTTTGATTGGTCATTTCACCAACTGGATGTTTAGAATACATTCTTGAATGATGACTGAATTGAAGAAGTTTATGTATATACTCCTCTAGGGATCAATGACTTTGGGAGCACATGCTCAGTTTGCAAATTGAAAATATTTTTTTATCAATCAAGCAATTGCCTCGAGCCTGATTCAAAATGTTCACAAAAACTGTGTCAAATGGAATTCAAACTTGCTCACTCTAATCCAAAGCTAGTCTTTGATAAGCAGTGGACTAATTTTGTATGTTGTTTACATGATATCATGATTTGGAGATTATTACCTTGAAGAAACAACTAGCATAAGAGTTGGAAATCAAAGACTTTGGACAGCTCAGGTATTTTCTTAGAATAGGAATATCTAGGAACAAATTTAATATGTCCATCTCTCAAAGAAACTATATTCTAGATCTCTTAAAAGAACCTGACTTAACTCGAAGAAAACTTGTCGAGAGTTTTGTAGATCATAATATTTAATTGAGTAATGTTAGCACCAATTTTCTTATGGATGAAATATCAAAGGTTGTGGGGAAACTCATGCATCTGGCTCATACCGTAGCTGACATAGCCTTTTTTATCAATTTGGTGAGTGAGTTCATGCATGCTTCTCACGAAGAACACATCAATGTTGTTACAAATAACTAAAAGGAAGCCCATATGGGGATTTTTCTTAGGAAAAATGAATATATAATTACGGAAGCCTACACTGATTGTTGATTGGCTACCTCTATAGTATTCAAAATGTCTACTTCTAGGTAGCCAACAATAAAATGTTGTAGCAAGGAGTAGTGCAGAAGCATGAATCAGATTGTTGGCCGATTGGATTAGTGAATTAATCTGGCTTAAGCTACTCCCAGCAGAACTTTAGGTAACATTGAACACTCGTATGATACTATATTTGGACAGTAAAATTATTATTAGTATAACACACAATTTTATTTATCATGATTAGACTAAACATGTAGAAATAGATTGATACTTCAATGAAGAAAAAAAAAATCTAAAATGGAGATTTATATATTTTATGCCCCTCAAACTTAGGGAAAATTCTATAAGATGGTGGTGAGACCTACAATGCTTTATGGTGCTGATGTTGGCCATTAAAAGAGAAGCATAATTCTAAGTTAAGTGTTGCAGAGATGAGGATGCTTAGGCGGATGAGTGACTTTACCCTTAGAGATAGGATACAAAATGAGCATATACGTGATAAGGTTGGAGTAGCGCTAGTGGAAGATAAGATTAGAGAGAGTTGCCTTAGATGGTTTGGTCACATAAAACGACGGCCTTCCAATGACCCGATTAGGAAAGTAGAGGTATTAGATTTGGCTTATGATAAAAAAAGTAGAGGTAGACGTAAAAAGACTTGATTAGAAAATATTAGAAATGATATTTCTTTATTAGATTTAAACGAGAATTTGACTTTTAATAGGACACAATGGAGAAAATTGATTCATGTAGCCGATCCCACATAGTGGGACAAAGGCTTGATGTTGTTGTTGTTTTATGTATCCCTTTCTTCGATCAAAAAGCGAACATCTTGTTCAAATGATTGACTAGATTTCTATTTGAAAATTTGATTGACAAGCTTGGTTTACTGGATGTTTACAAATCAGCTTGAGGGGAAGCATTAAGGAATGCTGTTGTTTCTTTTCAATAACAGGAAAACATTATTTTTTGACCTTATTAGTACTAGAACTAATGGATTGTCAATTATAGATGTCATGGAGGCTAGTGGGCCATTTAGAGGCGGAAATCATGAGAAATTGAAGCTATCTGATAATTAAGGAAGGCAAAACAGTTGTTGTTGCATTAGATGCGTCCCCTGATATGACTTGGTGGCTCTCGGATTGATTACGTGGTGGTTGGGCAACGCATTGATTGTTGACATGAAGGCCGTGGGTATAGCATATTTGCTAGACATCATATGGTTGAACATCCATAGGGATTTGATCGTCTGCAGTTAGCAATTTTTTATTGTAATTGCTTTCCTTTCTTGATTGGGTATGATTTATTTTTCTATTTTACCCGTTATAAAACTCTGTAATTAGGGCCATGTTTTTGTCAAATAAACACGAGCGAGTATTTACCAATTTTCTCTGATATTTCTCTTTTACTTCTTAAAATTTAAGAACTTCTCTTTATGTGGTGTAAGGCAAAATTCTTATCTTATGCATGCTTATAGAACTTTTCTGGTTCTTTTAAAGGTACATGCTATTTTGTTTTTATTTTTATTTTTTAAACTTTAAAAGATTAAAAGCATGCTAATCATTACTTTTTTCTTAAATTCTACTTGTAAATAAACATGTTTAACCAAGTAAAAGACATGCCTAAACCATTACTTTTCTTAAACGCTTATTTAGCCGCTTTAAACTTTTTTCTACCGATTATTAAAATTCTTCTTAAAAAAATAATAATAAAACCTTCAAGCACCTAAATGACTCAAAGCATTTGTTTTCCAAATAGCCCCAACTTCTGTGTTTTGTAATCCAACGATGTGGATGTTGAATTATAATACAGGTTGGGTACATGAACTTGTCTCAAATCTGTTTGAAAATAAATGGCTCTCTTACAGAGCTATTTGGAATTATTTTCTCTTCTTTTGGATGGGCTGCAGGTGCTGGAGAACATGAGGAGAATATGCAATCTTAATAAGCTTGACTGCAAGGTATGTGCTGTCTCTGCCCTTAAAATATGTGATTCTGAATGGTGGAAAATTGTTGTCGCTTTGTATTATCTAATATTTGTTTTCCTTTTTGTTTGTTTAGATACTTGGCCTCACATGGGGAGAGTGGGATGCTCCGTTGTTTGAATTGCAGCCTGATATAATTCTTGGAGCCGACGTATTTTATAATTCAACTGGTGGGATGATTTTGTCATACAATTCTAATATTGTCTACTTATAATTCATATGCTTGCGCTTGCGCTAAAATATTGGTGGCACTGTACTTCTATAAGATTTTGATGATCTCTTTGCAACGGTTACTTTCCTCCTGCAAAACTCTCAAGGAACTGTATTTATAACTACATATCATAACCGCAGGTGCCTGTTTGACTCTGCTACTTAGGTTTCGTTTGGGACGGCTTTCTTACTGTTTCTTAAAACGGCTTTCAAATTTTTGTACTTGAAAGCCGCTTCAAGAAGCACTAAGAAAGCAGTCCCAAACGAAGCCTTAATTTTGTACGTTTTATAGGTTACGAACATGTGAACTAATCTCATAACAAGCTATTTTGGATGGCAGCGGTCATCATCTGATTGAGTTCTTGATGGCAAAATGGGGATTGAAATGTCTGAAACTCTTGGATGGTTTCTCTTTCATCCCAGCTCACAAGGCTTCCTCCCTTCAGGGAAACATTCAGCTTGTGGAAATTGCATTAGATGACAGAACTGTACATCAATGAGAGCTCCATAACTTGGCAGTATTTGAGGTATATTCCCGGATCCTAAACTGTGCGTTGTATGTTTCAAATTATCTGCCATATTAGAATCTATTTGTGGATTTAACAGTGCAGCTTATTGAAGATGAAGAACCAAGGAAGGGCAAGTCCATGGCATGTCTAATAATTATCAAAATAGGGTAAGTTTAACAGCTCAATTGCGTGGTATCGTCGACTTATTTGATGCTTTGACGTTTTGTCATTGGACATTCAGAGTGGCTAATCTAATATTTCAAGTACTTCAGCTATCATTTTGTATCCGACGTAGCTTTTCGTTTATTTCTTTTGAAAAACAATACATGTGGATAATTTGAATGCAAATTCAGAAATTATAAATCAAATTAGCTGTAGTACAAAACCTTGATGATAGACTAGATCAAGATCCTCTGATTCCGTCGTCCTAGGTCATCATGATCCATGGTCTACTTAATCAAAGGGGATTGTTGCCCAACTTGACAAAATGATCCATATCGGCAGCCATGGGTTGCTTCGTCCAAGGGTACCTTGCATATCTGGGGTGAATGTTTACCTAATGAAATAGAGTTGAATCTACTTTAGCTAATATAGGACTTTGTACCATATCGATCATATCCTATTGATTTATTACTCAAGGATTCGAAGCCGCTGGGAACATATGAGCTCTTACCACGACTGTAATTTAATAGTGTCATTTAGCGACAAAATCACTAGGTCAGAGAAAATCGGTCATAATTGTTTACCAATTGTGTTATTTAGCGGCAAACTATCGGTTAGAGGTTACGTGCCACGTCCTTACTGGTAGGAAACATTTTGAGAATGAATTCCACTAATATTCTTGATAAGACATATGCTCTTTATGAGCTGAAGTGATTTTTAAATTTATCCACCTTGAAAATTGTTGTTGAGGGTGAATGTTATTTTGTTTTAAGTATTTTGGTATTTTTATTTAAATCTTAAATATCTTAGGTTTTAGTGACTTTTGAGCTTTGAAATTTCATGAGAATTTATATGGCATTTTTAAATATTTGGGATTTACTCCGGTTGAGATTTTCTGTCAAGACAGCCATCATCGGGGTACTTATGGACAATTTCATTTTATTGGTTGAACTTTGTCGACTTTTTCAACATGTCAATAGAAGATGGAGTTTGTTATTGGCTTTATGTCTTTATTAGTGAATTTTCCTTATTATAGATTTTGAAGGCCTAATATGAACGTATAAAATAAATATCATGGTCGATGCCGCTATCATATATTTGTTTGATAGTTTGAGACATATCGACTTTTATCTACTCTCATAGAAGGATCGGACTCGAACTTGAGTTCATTTTTTTAACCGCGCAATATTCTCGGATAACATGTTCGTTGGGGCCCATATGGGTATATACTTTTGCATGCATTTTACATGATGCATTTGATATGCAGTGTAGTGGCCTGTTACATTAACATAACATATGATGCATTTGCATGATATGTATGTATGTTGGTATTTTGCATTCGCACATTACTCAACTGTACCTACATGATGTGTTTTGAATTTTGCAACGTGTATATGCATGATGTGATTGAATGTTAATGTATCATAATAGCATAATGTGTTTTTCATATTGAATGACATGCTTGCATGATATGTTTTGCATGGTGTAATGCATGTGTGCACAGTGCATTTGCATATTAGTGTAATGTTTTGCTATAGCATAATGCATTTCATAATGTTGAATGACATGCTTGAATGATACATTCTACCTATTGCAATGCAATTGGAATGGCATTTTAAGGTGTTTGGCACCAATCAGCTATGTGAACGATGGTCATTTAAGTGTGCATATTGCTTTATTTAGGAGCATGTAGATGCTTTCTGTCTGCATGTATGAATGTTGAATATCTGGTGATTTTGTTTAACAGTACGCTAAATTTCATTTGTCGTGCATTGGCAATGCAGTTTGACTCATTTTTTTCTCCTGCATGTTGTCATTTTCTCTGAATTTAGCTTGTAGGAGTCCACCTTTTCATCTATAAATATGCTGATATATTCGACACGACAACCCGACGTTAGCATTTTTCTCGTTTCTTTCTATCAGCAATCCGTATTTTTCACAACAAACTCCTTGCTTTTGCTTATAGGTCAGTCGTAGTGTTGCACTACAGGACGCTTATTGCTCCTTGCAAACGAGCTCTCGTCCACTGACAAATTACCTACAGTGGTTCGTAGATGCCTTCATTTATTGCGGGCTTGTTGCTTTTGCCTGCAGGCAATGTGTCACACTTGCTGCAATCTTCTTGCTCATTTCTATAAAGGATCCGCCACACTTGCAATGCATTCACTAGAATTGTTCGTATGTAGGATCGTAGTATGCATTACAAGCCTTACGTTGTCATCTGCGGGTAAGCTGCATTGGATGTAAATTTTAATTTAAAATTTAAAAATTTATGTATTTACCTTTTAAATATTATAATTATCTATAATTTTATTTTTATTCATATTTTTTTATATATCATGTGTAAATATTAAATAATATAGAATAAATTAAATTTAAGTATTAAGTATCATGGAAATAATGCCCAAGTTCTATAGATAGTATTCTAATTATAAAAACTAATAAATCTCCTCTTCGGAGTGGGTGCATTATCATCCAGATTCATAATGGATAATAACATTTAAAAAAAAAAGCAAAGATCTAAGATAGTACTTATAATTTTATTTTAAAATTTAGATTATTTAAGACAAATTCATAAACATAATAAATACACAAACATTCGAATCCAAAAAATTTTAGTTGGAATCGAAGTTTTCAATTAACCGCTCAATATGAGCCGTGTATGTTTTTTTTAAAAACTCGTTTGATTTTTAAAGAAATTTTCTTTGTTTTCGGTGCGGGCAAAATTAATATTTATTACGTGGGCTCGTATAGCTCGCTCAGAATTAACTCGATTCATCTAAAGATATATATATATATATATATTGCCCGGCTACGTCGTCCTGTTTGGTCTGCTTGGTCGAAATCCCAACACAAGGAAAGTAGGAAACGCTGGACCGGAGCTAAAACCATCCGAAAACCCCCAAAACCCTAAAGCCGGCCACTACTCTGCTGTCGTCCATCTATGGCGTTCTCCGCGCGGCTACGGGATCTGATGAACAAGTACGGCAAGGTGGCGCTCGGCGTCCACTTGTCCGTTTCCGCCGCCTCTATCACAGGACTCTACGTCGCCATCAAAAACAACGTGGACGTTAAGTCTCTCTTCGAGAAGGTTGGCCTCTCCTCCACCGTCCCTCACCATTCTGGAGACGGGGAAGCATCCATTGGAGATTCAACGGCCGTTATTCTCGAGGACCACGAGTTCCCTCCTTCCACTACCGTGGATCAAGGGGAGCAGCGGCCTCGGCACAGCAATCGGACGGCAGAACTTGCGGCTTCGAGCGGCGGTGCGTTGGCACTGGCGATCCTGTGCAACAAGGCGCTCTTCCCCATCCGTGTTCCAATCACGATCGGGCTGACGCCGCCGATCGCCAGGTTTCTTGCCAGGAGGAAAGTCGTCAAAAACGTGTAACTCGACACTTTGATCACTCCCTTTGTTGCGTTTGATCTTGTGCTGTTTGTTTAATTGATTGGAGTGCCTCCTATGGCTTCCGGATGCTTGATCAAAATGTTATAGGTCTAGATGTTGTAGCTCTTCAAATTTCTTATGACTAGGCATTTCTAATCCAATAAGCAGATATATTAAATACTTTTCAATGAACAGATTCTGAAGAGGTTCAGTTAGAAATGTTTGTTTTAGAAATATGGATTCCTATGTGAAAGGAACTACGGAAGTGTTTTTCAAGCTAGAGCCTACCTGCATTCTTTGTTATTTTGTAAGCTTGATTATGATTCAAGGAATTCTACTGAATAATAGGTGGAAATTAAGTGTTCTGGTTTATTTAAAATGTGAATCTTGTTGTATTGCTGAAAACTAGGTTTTTAGTAGGTTTCTTAGCTTTCAGTAAGAGAAAATAGATGTCTATTTTGAAATTAAGTGAAAAGATCAATGAGTTGGTATAACAAAGAAAAGAAGCAGAGAGAAAGAGTTGAGGAAATTTTTTTTTTGTGAGTGATTATGCAATCATCTTGATGAATTGAAAGTTCCTTGTGTTGGAAATTTTGCACTGTTACTTCAAAGATGTTGGAGGACACCTTTTTGAGGAACTTACAAAATGGGTGATTACTAGTATTACTTTAATCTCCTTCATTTGTTATCTCTCTTTCACTACCAACTAATTGGTTTAAGCGATATTATTACTAATCTCTAAATGAAGGTCTAAAGCTCAAATCTTAGTTAAAAAAAAAAAAATCTTTTTGGCTCATTTTGAGATATTTGTATTTTTCATTTTTGTGGTTAGATTAGGTGTAGTTAGTTTGGTAAATAATATTTTGTGTGGCATTTTTATGTTGTACAACTATTCCGCTTCTCTATAATGGCTAAGATCCTATCTCTTCTTTATTGAATATATGCTTATTTTTTTAAGACATTAAAATTTTGGTGTTTTTAGGGATGGATCATCTTTTTTTTTGTTATTTTTGCAGTCATTATATATGATGTTTCACATTTTCACATAAGAATTAGATGTTTTTCTCCTAACAAATGATAGATATTCGAGTCTAATGAGGAATGTGATGATTGTAAAGTTGGACTTGAACTTTTGATGGCTCATAGAGTTTTGGGCTTTGGAGAACAAAGATATTTGATATTCAAAGCTAGTATAGATTTATGAAGGCACTCATGAGCATATTCCAATATGCTTAAGGTTATGAGTAGATGGATGAAAGTTCTCTATTGGCAATTCAATTGTGATTAGTGAAAAAGGTTTTGACAAATTGATATCCGAACCATATGAATTGCTAGATGTTTTTCTTATTAAATGGTATCTGAGACTGATAAGGAATGCAATACCACGAAGTTCAAAGAGTCTGATGGCTCAAAGAATTTTGGGTTTCCAAGAAATAAAATTTTTCATGTTTGAATCCAATAGAGTTTTAGGAAGGCACTCATGAGGCAATCAAATATAATTGTAACTAAGGCTTTGTTTGGGACAGTTTTAGATCATTGATTTTTTTTTCTTTTTTTAAAATATTTTTGTCTAAAAAGCAGCTGTAAAAAAGCCGTCCCAAATGAAGCCTAAGGTAAATAGAGATGGATAAAAAGAGCATTATTTATAAGTCAGTTGTGATCGATAGATAAGATTTTGATGGAGGGTCCCAAAGGAAATGACTGAAAATGAGTTATAACTCAACTTTTGGATAAAACCCCCTACAATTCTATCTAAAGTATAAACTATTTTTATTATGCATTTGGGAAAGTTCATCCATGAAATCATATTTTAATGTGTTTAATTCTATTGTGAGGATTTGAGAAATATTGATTTGATGATAATAAGAAAAATAAAATATCGTATTTCTGTGACAACATATTTTATAAGAAGGATTTACTTTTTTAAAGATCTTATTGCTAAGTTCAAAATGTAAGATAAAAAAATTTATTTTGGGGATTATTTGTTATGGGGATCTTTTAACAAGGTATCTTCCTTTAATCATGATAGAAGCCTTATGATATGTACAAAAAATTTTCTTTTCACTACAAGAAGAAATAGCTATTAAGGCTTCATTTAAGAAAACTTTCTTACTGTTTTCTAAAACATTTTTTTAATATAAATTTTTTTTGAATTAAAAAATTTTTGTTCTAAAAAAACTGCTTAAGAAAGCATTAAAAATTAATACAAGCTCAGTGGAATTGGTGCTAGTAAGTTCAAACAGTTCAAGGATGTGCAGATACTATCTGCATGTAAATCCAAGAATATATTTTTCCTCATAAAATGAAGCGTGAAAAGTGTGGATAGAATTTGGTGCTTAAATGTTGCACAACCCAACAACTCTTTGCAGACTTGGATGCAAAATCGTTCTTGTACTAAATGCACATTAATACACATTGTTTTTAATGGATAAGGAATTTCATAAAAGGATATTTTGTTATTTCAATGGTTTGTGCTTTACTATGCTTTTGATAGTAGAGCAAGGGGCAAATTATTGCATCCGGTCACCTGATAGAGAGATCCGTTCGGATCTCTCTCTATCTACAATAAAGCGCAGGTACTGTAGCATACATGCGCTTTACATGCGCTTTACTGTAGACAGAGAGAGATCCGAACGGATCTCTCTGTCAGGTGACCGGATGCAATAATTTGCCAGAGCAAGGAGGATATATTTCTTCGTACGATTTATAGCATATATTTTTTTTTCTATTAATTTCAGTTGTAAGATTTTAATTATTTGTTGTGTTATGTGTTCATTATGTGGTTTTACATGTTTTTCAGGAAATTGTAAAGATCCTAAGATATGAGACTCCAGACAAGATAAATATGTAATCATATTTTTTTTTATGTTGTTCATTAGTATGCTATAGTTAAATGATTAAAATGAAAGACATCTGTAATTCTTCCAATATAAATTTTAAAGTGTGACAAAATGGTATCAGAAAAATGGTTATTTGAAGAATTGAAATATAACTAGAGCTTATGAGCAAAATAAAAATGTAATTTCTGATTTATAATTAGTTTATTTGAGTTTGAAATTTTGTTTTGAGCATGCTCTCTCTCTCTCTCTCAAACTGATATTGAAATGCTGGGGATGATATTTTCAAAGGTGGGGAGATTGTAATAACTCAAATATTTGAAATAAATTTATTTGAAAAACATGAAAATTTTGAAGTACAACGCTTTTGCGCTGATTTAATGAGCACTACGGCATTAAAGATCACCCCACCGACTCCCTCACTTGGTTGGTTAGCAAGGAAGAAATTGAAAGAGGGTAAGAAGAGAAAGGATAGAGAAAAGTCTTTGGATCATATTTGTCAGTCATTCATGTTACAGATTTTGTAATATATGTATATTCAATTGGAAAAAAGTATTAAAATATAATTAAAGCAAATCTTGTGGGATCCACACAAAAACATTTTAAAAATTTATCTCGTAGAAGTTGTTGCCCTTCTCTTGCCTATCTAAGTCCATATACTACGATAAAGGAGGTAAGAAAGATTAGCTCATCTATTGTCTTGTGCCTATAGATGATGCAAAAGTAATATATTATCAATGTCATACACCAAAGAATAAGTATATGACTTGAAATTTTATAGATCCACTGAGTAAGACGCACGAGTTCATGAATTAATATGGCATTCATCCCCTCTCCCGATTTGTGAGAAAAAGTTGTCTTTTTTTTGCCTGATTAGTAGGATTTGAAGACAACACCAAAGAGAGGGATATAAAATTGAGTAGTAAAAACATGATATGATTTTTATAATTGCATGCACCTATGACTTGGATTATATGATAAGGTAATTATTCAAGTAGCCTTTTGATTTAATAAATCATTAACAAATATAATTGTACTACATTGTGGATTATATAACATGGATATTTTTTTTACTTACAAAGGGAGAGGAAATGATAATACCCAAAATCTTGCATATAAAACATTATTGTCTTAGATGAACTATTCAATCATTAATGTATAACATCAATCTTTATATATAAGAAATTGAAGGAGAAAGAGGCATTCTAATGATTCGAAATTATGTTCATGTATATTATTGTAGAATCAATCTCTACATACAATAAATTGAAGAGGAAAGAGTCATTCAAGAGGCTTGAAACTGCACTTATATATGCTATTGGAGTTTAAGAAAAAAATTTAATGTCTTAGGTTGATGTATATCTCATATGTCATTCAATGAGCTGGAGTATATGTCCATTGAATAATACATGAGATATCACTATCTACAAAGACTATTATTTGTATGATTGTGATCCCTCCATCATTGTAGCTCAAATTTTGCAAGCAATAATGGATTCATTTTGCAAGTGCTTCTACGCATTGATTGAGCCATCTATGTTATTTGGCAATAAATAGGAACCGTTCTCATTCAAAGATCTTTGAAAGTGGAGGGCTATCATAAATGAGTGGAGGGCTATCATAAATGAGGTTCCTAAGGCTATTGTAACACAAGTCATTTGAAAAATTTTACAAGAAATTATGTAGTACTTAATTACACAAATAGATTAATATGTGGTGAATGTCTTATTTGTAGCTAAGACCATAGAGTGTGTGTGATACAACACATCATTTATTCAACTTCAAAGAAGAATGTTTTGAAAGTTACACAAGATTGTATGCAATTTCACTAAAATCAAATATGTGCATATTTATTTTATAATAAAGTAGATTCATAGGTCCCCATTAAAAAATTGAGTTAGGAAATTAAGTGCATATCAATTGTCATACATTCAATTCCTTATATATGTATTCATGCAGTTTTAGAAATGATATTCATTTATTTTTTTAATCTTTTTATTCAATTAATTAAATATTGTACTTTCAATTCTATTATGTCATGACTATTGTGATTGTAACATGCTATATTAACTTTATAACTTGCTATGTTATTGTCATTGTGAACGAACTCAATTGTATCAAATTCTTAGTATGATGAGTTATTACTTATAACGGGGTACAATATGTGTGTTATTGCTATTTTAAATGGACTTTGGGGTATCTAATTTGTAGCATTATGTGTTATTGCCTATGATGAATGTAATCTACTATAATATGCAATGTTGGTTTGATTGCACTTTGCTACATCAAATTTAAATTCAATTGTGTTATAGTATGATTGATCTTTATTCAAACTATGATTGGCAATTGTTTGAACGAATCATCATGTTTGAAGCCTGATCAAATCGTATTCTAACAAGTCTCAATCTTCTTCAAATAATGATCCAAATTTCTTCTAATCATATTCCGAAAGTTTACAATCTTATCAGAATTTTTTTGAATATTTTTTTAATTCTGTTCTAACTATTTTAAATTAATATTGGAATATTTATTCATATAGTGTTTGAATATGTTAAAATATTAAATCTATTCAAAATTTTTTTAGTTTCCATGTTGTGGAAAACTTATTCTAATTTTGGTGGAACCAATTTTATAATTGGTGAATTTTTAATTAGCAGTATGTAAAAATAAGAGAGATAATTTTATCAACTCTTATTTTTAAGCTTTGATTTTTAATATATTCCCATTGAAAATATTCTCCCCGTAAAAGTAGAACGACTTCGTTGCGGTTTGGGTTTCTGCATGAGAGATCGGGAGGGGAATGCGGGAGGAAAGAAAGAGCGCGAGCAACGGTGCGATAGCCAGCGATGAGTTTTCTCAAGGCTTAAAATCTCTGATTGATTCCTTCCCCAACCCTGCATTCCAGTTTCTCAAAAATTTCGCTGGTAATCCTCTTCCAGCCGATCATTCACACAGAGCTACGGAACCCTAGCTGTAACCCTAGCATGTCTCTTGTTTCGGACCTGCACGTCCTCCGCAATGTCTCTGACTCCGCAGGGTTCGTTGCCGTACGCGGGGAATCCGAGGCGGATGCCGTTGCTCCGCCTCATTCAGCAGCTACCGCGATTCCCTTACCCGAGCCAGCAGTTCTTCCTCTGAATCGGCGAGAACACGCGCAAGACTCTGTTCCTTTTCTTGCCAGCAGCAATGCCTCCCATGGTCCCGCTTCCGAAAGGGAAAATAGGCCTGTATGGGGAAGGGCGCCGAATGGAGCCATTGATACTGCTCCGCTAGTTTTGGGAGGCTCCTCTTCTTGGCCCGCTTTATCGGAATCTGCCAAAGCCTCTACCAGACCTTCATTCGATGAATTGGCCCCCTCCCTGGTTTGTTTTCATCGTTCTCTCAGCGGAAACATATGTGTCTTACTTTTCTAATTAAGCAATCATTTTTATTGATCTTATTCTGGCATTAGGGCTCTAACTCTCTTGGCGGTGGAAATAATGGCGATGATGTTGGAACCAGTGGTAGATTTTCCAGTAATGGTGATCCCTCATCATCTTCTTCAACATCAAGTTCAACGGAATTATCTCAGAACATGACAGATAAGTTGCCTGATAAGGGCAATAACAGCAATTGGGACCATCGTCCTCGTGAATCCCATGGCTGGGTGGATCAAGGGGATCGACGGAGGAGGCATGGTGGCAGCAACCGAAGGGGAAGCTATGGAGGCAGGCGTGATGAGGACCGTGTTTTCCGTGATTGGAGTTCTTATAGGCCTCTGAGTGTTAGAGATTCCCACTTGCAGCGAAATCACCCGAGCCATGCAATCATGCGACCTCATATGCCTGCTATGGTGCCATTGTATGGCCCTCCTCCGCTTATCCAACATTTTCCTGGCCCCATGGCCTACCCTGGTGTGCTGTTACCTTTATGTTGCATTCCTCATCCTCTGTAGTTTTTTTAATAAACGTCTCTGTATGATGGTTTTTGTCTCATTTTTCAGATATTCCACCTCCAATGTATTTTTTCCCAACTCACCCTCATCCCGAACCTTTCGGAGGGTACCCATTTGTTCCCAACCCAGCACCTCCTGCAATACAAGAACCTATGTTTTTTCCATCTGCGGAACAAAAACGCACTTTGATATTGAAGCAAATTGAGTATTACTTCAGGTATAGTTGGGTTAAGTTTGTCCCAAATTTTTAGATCTTTGTTTAAATTACTGACAGTTCAATTTTTCTTGATTACAGTTCAGAGAACTTGTGCAGTGATTTATTCCTGAGATCGAACATGGATAACAATGGGTGGGTTCCAATCGATTTGATTGCTAAATTCAATAGAGTAAGTTGCCATCAGTTTTAGTATTTTATCTATTATGGTTTCCAACTTCGGACATTTTATGTGGCACAACTTAGTTAATTTTAAGAAGGTATTTTGTTGAATTCATTTACCATAATGAGAATGATATCAGTTGCAAGAGCTTTAAATTTTAGCATTATTCATGCATATTATGAGTTATTACTGAATACTTTACGGATTCTGGATGTTGCTTGCACGCACTGTTGTATTGAAATCATTTTGCAGAGGTTTATTTTGTATTTGCATGATTCTAACACTGTAATGCTATTTCTTAATGTAATTTTGGAAATATCAGTTATAGAACACCATCTACTGCTAAATTTTTTCTGTAGTATTAGTAGGTTGTAATGAATACTATTGTTTTTTATCCAGTTATTAATTACTCACGCACTTAAAGTCATATAACTTAAAAGTTATCGATATGCTTTTTGAAACATATTTTCAAGCAATTTGGTAACTTATTTTAGATTTAATACATTGATAAAGTATTTAAGCATTCTTATTTTTGAACTTTATGCCTTATTAATTTGCCATATTTGTTGAAAAGGAAATTTCAATAGCAAATTACATAAAAGCAAATTTTTTTCTAAAAATAGTTATCAAATGATCAATAATATTAAATGATGTTTAAAATTTAAATTACATACTTCTCTCTCTCTCTCTTTATATATATATATATATATATAAAGTTATTTACAAAATGTGTTAGCCGATTTTATTGTGTGTTTTGTAGAAACTTTTAACAAAAAAGGATGAATTATAATGTCATTGGGCTATGTAATAATTAGATACATGGATCAGTGAGCCATTTTCTAATAAAATGATATGAATACGAATATGATTGATGGAAATTTGTGTCTAGGTTGTATTCCAAAAAGCTTTTATTTTGTTTTTTTAAATAAAAAATAAACTGGAGATGATAAGGACAAAGAGGAGAGAAACATGATGGAAGACTGGGAATTCTATTCATCTATATAAACCTTAAACCTTTTTTGGAAGGTAGTAAAAGCTAAATAACAAGAGGAAATAATCTCACCACAGTTGTTGGACCAAAAAACTTGCTTGCTTCAAGTCCATAAAAGGAGAAATAGGGATATCTGGCTAGTTGCATAAAAACACATATTGCTGATATTGAAAATGCAGTAGGATTCTGCACTTATTTGTAATTCTGTTGAACCAATATGACAGCAATGAGGATCACACAATATGATAGTTGTAGGCTTGTAGCAGAATCCATAATATTTGAAAAGTTATCTGTGAAAAAATGGCAGTAGTAATGTAAGCCACAATATTGCCCCTCAAGCTGAATGCACATGTTGAACATTCCTAGTTTGCAAATTAACTTTCTAGATACTAGTTTGAATAAACCTTTGGTTGATAATGCTTCCTTTAAAATTTTTTATTCTTCAAAATTTTTTGATGAAGTGGTCATCAATTTCCACATGTTTTGTTCTATTATCATGAACTTGATTGTGAGAAATAGCATTAGTAGCTTCTTTGTCACAAGAGATGTTCATATAATTGTTTCCCATAAACTTTACTACTTTAGCTTAAATTTTTTTTAACCAAAGTAACTTACATAGCCCAAAGATATCTAAATCTGCCTTAACATTACTTTCGGCGACAACCATCTATTTTTTCACTTCTCCAAGTCACTACATTTTCCAATAAAAAAAAAATAGTATACATATGTAAATGTTCTAATATCTCTTTCTTCTTTTTTTATAATAATCCTTGACTTATTTAGAGGGATGATGTACATATTGGCTTACACTACTAACTACAAAGGCAATATCTTTCCAGCAAGTCTTTGATACCATCCTTTATCTATTGATGTATCTTATATAAAATTTAGGTGGAAATTATATCCTCTAAATGGGTGATTATGGTGAGGGAAAGTTTTTTGGCCGTGAATGAGCTTTCCAGAAATTGGTCATAATAGTGATTCTAACATGTTTGTATTAAGTTATAGAATATTTTGCACGCTGCCATGATGTGGCCCTTCGATCTACTTTGCAAGGATTACACCTTTCAACCATGTGAACATCGATGTGTTACCTTGGATCAAGGAATATCCTTTTGCTTAGAATCAAAATGACCAAAATCTGAATTGCTTTTAGAATTCTATTATTAAGCATTCAATCTTGACATTTGGTATGATGGACTTTGACTTGATTAGACAACTTTATTTTTTGCTGATCAAATTCATTTGAAGTGAGACGTACTATACCGCTCAAAATAGTACCTTGAATTTTCCAACGGTCAAGAAAAATATTGGATTGAATCTAGTGCTGAAATGTGCTTTTCATTTTGTGTCATTTCGTGGATCACGCTCAACAAGCTTAGGATAAGCCATTACCTTGAGGGTCATACTTATGCTAGGCTAAAATCTAGAAGCTAGAGCTCTTCATAAGGATGGCATGCTAAAGTTGTTGATGGTGTATCACCTTCTATTTTTTCGCTAGGAACTCTTGTTGAACAGATAAAAATCATTATGGTTCATGTATGCATCCACTAGGTTGTGATCAAGATCAATCTTTGCGGTAATATCAACATGGTTTTGGTGTTCATATTTATAACATTATACTTAAAGTATGTCCAGATTCTACTATTGAACCAGATTTTGATCTCCTGAGATCGAGATCTTGATTATGTATCAACATAGTGGTATTCAATTAATTCAAGTCACAAACACATATAGGCTTCGATAATATATAAACTCCTAGCTTCCCTCGTGTAAGAAGGCCCTACCCTAGTCAATGTTTCCTTATGAAGGTACTAAGTGACCTCGACCTCTAAGGTTCTCAAAGATCTTCATTGAAATGATATAAAATCTTTATGTTAAAGATAGATCTACTTACCCTTTTAGTTTGCCCCCTGTTGATGTATATCCTTGCTAACTATAAATTTTACACTAAATTTAATATCATATATGATTTATTTAAGTTGGTCAATGCATTCAAATTACTAAGACCTCATATCTTTAGATTGTTGATGGGCATGTGTTTGCATATTATATAAAAAAGAGTATCAGATTTTCTCTTTTTTTGGGGGAAGAAATCTTAGCCCTTGATCTTATTGAAGAAAATTCAATCTAAACATTATTGGATAACAATATCTTATTTGGTCTTTAGAAATATACTTATTTGTTAATATGTGTTTTTCTTTGAAATCTGGTCTCATCAACACAATAAGCTTTCTAAATCAAGTTTTTTTATTGTATTTATTGACAAATTTAGTGGTAATAGTAAGGAAAAGGAAATTTAAGGTATATATATTTCTAGTATTTTATTAAATTAAAAAAAAAAGCCTTTTTAGATATACTTTTTGAAGTATCATAAGAACGATTAGGTTTGATTTATTTTATTTTTAAAATAAACAGTGCTTAATTATATTAAATAATAATATAAAAAAGATTATCCAAGAAAAAATTCAAAATTTATTCTAACAATAAATATGAAATCAATTTTTGTAATCATGTGTTAAAGGCTTATTGTGTTTGGATATTTAATTGTTACTCTATTTTGTATCTCTGTATTGTGTTCATGCTTTATTTACATTTATGAGAGCTTATGATGAACCTACATTAGTACATTTTATATGCTCATGATCTACTATTAGTTTCAAAACTCAATAATAGATTGTATGTCTGCCAGTAATTTTTTTCTTGTGGGGGCGCAACTCATTGATTTAAAAAAAAACCTTAACCTTTTTCATTCAGGTTTGGGATTTCATTCAGGTTTGGGACTGACATTGACGGTTGTAATTTTTTTTAAAGGCATCATTATAAAAATATAAATTGTATAGTAAAGAAAAACTTATAGTGGATAATATTTGCTCTTCATATTTTCAATACATGTTACCTATAATTTCTCTTTTTGAGTCTTCGTATTTTGAAATTGTTGTACAATCATTTCATTATCAATGATGTTAAAAATATCTTTTTTAATATATATAACAAACAATCATTTATCCATGAGTCTCCCGTATGATTGCATAATCGATTATTTACAATTGTTATAGCTGAGAATGCTTGTTCGACCGTTACTGTAGCAATTGACAAAATCTGAGCAAGCTTTATACATAGGAATTCCAAACGATAAATGTCATTTTTCTTAGTTTCTACTAATTTTTTAGTAGACTCTTCAATTCTTTTTAAATTCATGAATGCATCAATAGATTTCATATCAATGATAAAATTATTAAGTTGGCTATTTAATATGATGAGATCTATATTTAAAACATCTGATGCATAAAACTTGGCTAGGTTTATAAATAATTTCTTAACAAATATGAACTTGAAATCTAACATTTTTCCAATTTCTAAATCTAGCCTGCCTCGCATCACCATCATTAACCTGAACATGTTCACTAATGGGCTTATAACCTTCAATGTATGGGTCACAACATTTCAAAATATAATATTGAGAATGAAATCTATAGCTTTTTTTTTAATAATCAACACTAAATCTTGACTTTTCCAATATTCAAAGAAAAACATATCTTCAATATTTTTTGCTTATGTATGCGTGCAAATGTGAGAAAAGAAATGGTAAAATGTGTGATGTTTGATCCACCAACTACACGCTCGGTACGCTCGGTATTGAGCATATACAACAAGCATAATTTCAAAATTACTCTTATAATATAATTTTGTTCCGGGGGCAGCACCCCCTTGGACCCCTGGCAGACTGGTATATTTTTGTATTCATGTTGTTTTATTATTGGTAGTACAAATAATTGTTAAAATATGTCCTATTGTTAGCATGACTAGTGGCACAAGAAGGAAAGATCCTGCATGGAAATATGGAACTCAAGTTGAAGTGTCAAGCGAAGGTGCAAAGAAGGGATATGTTTACATGAAATATAATTTCTGTGAGAAAAGCATAACTGGTGGCGTCAAGAGATTGAAGGATCATCTAGCCTGCACTTATGTCAATGTGGGATCATGTGCAAAAGTTCCTGATGAGGTGAAAAACGAATGTACAAATTATTTAAAGAAGTTTGCCACCACAAAGGAGGTCACACAAAGAAGTATGGAAGAGATGATTGGAAACTCTTCTTACTATGGATCACAGCATGAATGTTCCAGTACTAGAAGCCATCTAGTTTCTTCTGACCGAGGCAGTCAGGGGCCATGGATAGATTTATGCTAAATATTGATAACGAGGAAAACATAAATACTCAGGATATTCAGCCTCCTACAGCTACAAAAGAACTTAGGAACAGAGTTTGTTTGGATATCGCCAGATTCATCTATGAAAATGGGATTCCATTTAATGTTGTTAGGAGTCCGTCGTGGATCAATATGTTACGATCTATTGGAAGCTATGGAAGAGGATTACAACTTTCATGCATGTATGAGCTGAGGACTTGGATGCTGAATGAGGAGGTTAAGACAACTTCAAAAATGGTGGATGATATTAAGAAGACTTGGATTGAGACAGGAGTGACAATAATGTCAGATGGTTGGTCAGATATTCGATATATAAGTATTATTAATTTCTTGGTCAGCAATTCATATGGAACAGTTTTTCTCAAATCAGTAAAGGATGCACAATTATTGTTTGAAATGGTTGATGAAGTTGTGGAGAAAGTGGGAGATGCCTTAGTAGTACAGGTTGTTACTGATAATGCAAGTGCATAAAAAGCTACAGGAAGAATGTTAATGGAAAAGAGGCCTCACCTTTACTGGACTCCTTGTGCTGCACATTGTTTTGACTTGATGCTTGAGAGGTTGAGACAATTGCCTCAACATAAATCAGCCATATTGAAGGCCAAATTCGTTAGTAAGTTTATATACAATCATTCTTGCGTACTCAGCTTGATGAGAAAATTCACTGATAAGAAAATTATTAGACCTGCTGTTATAAGATTTACTATTGCATATTTAACATTGCAGAGATTCAAGGAGTTAAGATAACCTTCGGAAGCAATGTTTGCTTCTGAAGAGTGGGATAAAAGTTCATGGGCCAAAAAACAAGTTAAAAAGATTGTTATGAAAGACGATTCATTTTAGCGCAATACAAATTATGCTTTGAAGACAACACGACCATTAATAAAGGTGCTTAGAATGGTTGATGGTGAGAGGGCCTCGTCTATGAGATTTATTTATGAAGCAGTGGATAGGGCTAAAGAATACATTGCAAAAGAATTGGGAGGTCAAGAAAGTGCCTACAAAGAAATATGGGATATTATAGATGAAAAGTGGGATCGACAATTACACCACTTACATGTTACTGCGTACTATTTAAATCCCCAATTTTATTATGATAAGGATTTTCATGTTGACAAAGAGGTGAAAACTGGTTTGTATGCATGTATGGACAGACTCATTTCTGAAGAAGACTATCTCAAAGTGAATGATCAACTTGAGGATTTTTATTTGAAGAAGGGAATGTTTGGATTTAGAGCAGCACAAGCATGCTACAAAACACGATCTCCTGGTATGTTTATAGTTTGTGTATTTATAATTTTAATATTAATATTTATATTCAAGTCTTCTACTTCAACCAATATTCATAAAATACTATGTTTGTCTTCATGTAGAACGTTGGTGGGCTCAGTTTAGAGATGATGTTCCTGAATTGAAAGCTTTTGCAGTTAAAGTTCTTAGCCTAACGTGTTCGGCTTCTGCATGCGAGCGTAATTGGAGCATCTTCAATCAAATTCATACAAAGAGAAGAAATCGATTGGCGGCAGATCGAATGAACAAACTAGTTTATGTTATGTTTAACAAAAAAACCGCTCATCGAAAGGTATTCTTAAATATAATGAATTATTTTGTATGTTATTATTGTTTCATTTTAGAGCTAATGAAATATTAACTGATATAGGAGATAAATGAAAAAATATTATAGATGAAGAAGAGTTGGAGGATGACTTTGACATTAATTATGAAGATTCTTCTGAAGACAATCAAAGTGATGATGAGCCTGCTTTGGGTCTTGATCCTATGGGGATATTTTATTTTTAAGTGAGTTTATTTTAAATCTTGTATTCCAGTAATATTATCTGAAAAGAAATCTTCAAAGTCATAGTTGACATAATATTTTATGATTTTTTGTCATTATTTATAATTTTAAATTAATTTATTTTAATCGTTTTGAGGCTTACACCTCGCCTCGCTTAGAAAAAATGCCTCGATTCTCGATTTCGCCTTTTAAAACCTTGGTCCAAATAGCATTTAGGAAAGACCAAACATCACGGGAATGAGAAGACAATAGGAGAATGGAAAGATAGCAAGGAATTTCTGCAAAATAAAAGAAAATTCAGCACACAACAGGTAACATTGAGAAGTCTTACAAGCAAAATATAAAGTAGGATATCTTAATTGTATCAATTCTCCTCTGGTGGAGAAATCTCATCCCTGATGAGATAACATCAGATTTTTCATTATGTTCCGATTGTGCATTTTCTAATTCATGTATCAAAATGTCGTACTTCTTTTGAATATTCTCTTTTTCTCAAATAAATTCGGATTGAAGTAAATGCCTCTTATTTTCATATTTCTCCAATTTGTGGCCGAAAATTTCTCCTATGGAATCTAAAGTATAGAAGACAGACTTTCAAAATCTATAAGATCAAGTTCATCTTGAGACTCATTTACATCTTGATTTGAAATTTTGGCTTGTTGATTGATTGGACTATTCTTTTTTTTTTGTTTTTTGATTTTTTTTCCTAAAGAAAAAAGAAGACTCTCAAAAACCTAAAGCTCTTATACTAATATGATAAAAAAAAAAGATATTTAAGATTGCAAATTAAAACAAATGACAACTTGTCTTCCTTAAACATAGATGAACATGAGCACATAACAAAACAACGCTTACAACTTACATGACACAATAACACTTTCAACTTAAAAAAAAAACAACACAACCTTAGAACACTACTTACAACTTATATAAATTATGAGAAGAAAGACACATATGAGTTGGGGATCATTGATAGAGAAGAAGAGGCAGAAAACCTAGACGAAGTAGTAGAGGGAAAGGGGAAAGGAGGCTAGCTCGCAAGCTAGAAAAAATCCGCAGGTTTTACAAACAAAAATTCATCATTTTCCACTCTATCTTTTCATAAGGAAATCAACCCTAATTTATAGGAGAAATAAGAAGGAAATATCATTTAATAGATCACATAAATGTGCCCCAAATCAGCCACTAAAAACCACCAAAACAGCCCACATTTAAAGTCTCATGCATAGGAATCAACAATGAGGAAAACCATTAGCCAACAACATTCAAGCCAAAATGTGGAAAAACAACCAACATAGAGAAGACCAAACATCACTTAGGGAAGTCCAAACAACATTTAGGAAAGACCAAACAACACTTAGGGAAGTCCAAACAGCATTTAGGAAAGACCAAACAACACAGGAATGAGAAGACAACAAAAGAATGGAAAGATAGCAAGAAATTTCAGTAAAACAGAAGAAAAATTCAGCACATAGCAGGGAACATTGAGAAGTCATACAAGAAAAATATAAAGTAGGATATCTTGATTGCATCAATTCTCCACTGGTGGAGAAATCTTATCCCCTGATGAGATAGCATCAAATCTTTAATTATGTTCTGATTGCGCCTTTTCTTATTCCTGTATCAAAATGTCGTACTTCTTTTGGATCTTCTCTTTGTCTCGAATAAACTCGGATTGAAATAGACGCTTCTTATTTTCATGTTTCTCCAATTTGTGACTGGAAATTTCTTCTCTGGAATCTAAGGCATAGACGGCAGACTTTCAAAATATGCAGGATAAAATTCATCTTGAGACTCCTTTACATGTTGATTTGGAACTTTGGCTTGTTGATTAATTGGAGTATCCTTTTTTTTTGTTTTTTGATTTTTTTAATTTTTTCTAAAGAAAAAGGAAGACACTCAAAACCTAAAGGTTTATGCTAAATTGATGCAACAAAAAAAAAACTATTTAAGATTGCAAATTAAAACAAACTTTTCTTCCTTAAACATAGATGAACATGAGCATATAACACAACAATACTTATTGTTAAATCTCAACCTTACGATCCCAAAGATATCAACGGCTGAGAACAGTAATCCGTGGGAAGACTACCTGGATAGCATTAATTCCTTCCATTGATTTATGAATAATTGTATTTTCATTATTATAAGAGTTATTTGTTTTCTTATCAATACATCTTGTATAGATCTATAAATAGGGAGTAGATTGCATAATAAAATTCAAGCTTTTCCCAATGAATTGGACAGTTCTGCCTTTCTCCGAATGATTGACAAGCTGGGAATGACGGATCCATATTTTCCAGCTTGAGGGGGAGTGTTAAATCTCAACCTTACGATCCCAAAGATATCAACGGCTGAGAACAGTAATCCGTGGGAAGACTACCTGGATAGCATTAATTCGATCATGTCAAAGCCTCCTACCGAGCAAATTACTGAAGTTGGTTCTGAGTCGGCTGGTGATCCAGAAAAGGCCGCTGAACAGAGTGTCGAAGGAACACAGCCTACCGAATGTGTTCTGGGGTCCGCGGGTAAAGAAGTTGAAGAGACGGCTCAGTCACATCCGAACCGACTGAGATCACAGCCGCTAAAGGTAGCCAGAGCCGGGGTTTTTCGAGGTTTTTTCTTCCTGACTTCCGCTGCCAAAGCCGGGGGGCAAGTCGGGCGAGAGAGAGAAAGTCCTCTTCCATTGATTTAGGAATAATTGTATTTTCATTATTATAAGAGTTATTTGTTTCCTTATCAATACACCTTGTATAGATCTATAAATAGGGAGTAGATTGCATAATAAAATTCAAGCTTTTCCCCCTCAAATTCTCTGTTTCAACACTTATAACTTACAAGATACAACAACACTTTCAACTAAAAAAAAAAACAACACAATCTTAGAACACAAGACCTTACAACTTATATAAATTATGAGAAGAATGATACAGATGGAGCGGGAATCATGGAGAGAGAAGAAGAGGTAGAAAATCGAGACGTAGTAGTAGAGGAAAAGGGGAAATGAGGCTAGCTCGCAAGCTAGAAAAAATCCGCAGGTTTTACAAACAAATAATTCATTCCATTCTATCTTTTCATTAGAAAATCATCTCTAATTTATAGAAGAAATAAGAAGGAAATATCATTTAATATATCACATAAATGTTCCCCAAATCAGCCATTAAAAACCACCAAAACAACTCACATTTAAAGCCTCCTGCATTTGAATCAACAATGAGGAAAACGGGTAGCCAACAACATTCAAAATAGCATGGGTAAAACAGCCAACATAGGGAAGACCAAACATCACTTAGGGAAGTCCAAATAACATTTAGGAAAGACCAAACATCACTTAGGGAAGTCCAAACAACATTTAGGAAAGACCAAACAACACAGGAATGAGAAGAAAACAGATTAATGGAAAGATAGCAAGTAATTTCAGCAAAACAGAAAAAAATTGAAGCACACAATAGGGAACATTGAGAAGTCATGGAAGAAAAATATAAAGTAGGATATCTTCATTGCATCAATAATGGACCAATCTTTTGTATGCTCATGAATTACTACTAGCTTCAAAACACAAGAATGAATTTTATGTTCATTATTAATTTGTTATTATTTTCTTCTCTGAACCGCTAAATTTGAAAATGAGAATCCTTTGCAGTCTATTGCAACGTGGTTTTCACATGTATAAAAGGCTCTTTTGGGGTTTAATTCCAACTTTTCTCTAATACTAATTCCATAGGGTGAGGTTTTTGTGTGGGTTCTCTTTTGTGCTTTTAAGAGTTTCTATTTGTAATATTAAAGTATCTGAATAAGTTTTTAACAGATGGTTATTTAGTTGTTCTCTTCTATACCAATGCTTTCCATCTGTTCTTGTTGACGCTTCCGTAGTTGTATGTCTTTCTTTACGAAGGCCTGAAATTACCTGTTGTTATGGCGCAGATTAAGCTATTAACAGATAGCATACCATTTATATTGGATGCAATCAGGCCCTCAGATGTTTTAGAAGTGGAGGTATGGAATAATATTCAGTTTGATTTCTTTCTTTCTATTTTATTGCATGACTGCACAAGTTCTATCTGTTAGTACTTATATAAGTTTTCTATATCTAAATAATTCTTTTTTCTGCACCAATGTTCATACAAACTTGCTAGGTAGCCAAAAAAACAGCTTTTGCATACTGCATTAGCATTTAATGGCACTAGTACTAATACAGGTATAGCGCCAAATCATTTAGTTATTTAAGGTTGGAGTAGAATGACTTCAGTTGTCTTCTATCACTACAGCTCTTATTTATAACGTAATTAATATAAGTAAATGACTTTGTTTTATACGCCAGTTTGATCTTGAAAACTGAACTGCCCATCTCAAAATTTCTTGGTGAGATCCAAAGACTGTCATACTATCCTTAGCTTTCTTTGTCTCTTGACAAGTTCTTTCCTTCGACGAATTGGATAATGGTAGCAACTATAGGCAACTTGGTTGTCATTCCCTCTTTTTCACTTGAGACATGTTTGTTCATTTTTTTTGTGCAAAGTAATGCATCGTTGATCCTGTTTTAAATAGTAAGGATAAGTATAGATGAGTTGTTATTTGTGTTTAAACCCAAGGTGGTTTGACCATGTATTTTTCTTATTTCAGTATGATTTCAAGAGGATGTAACATTGGTTTATGCTTTTTGCGGATGATATTCTTATTGAAAAGGCTAGAGAGGGAGTTGATGAAAAACTTGAATTATGAAGGTCAACCTTAGAATAGAAAATTTTCATTTGAGTAGATCTAAAATTGAATATATGGAGTATAATTTTAGTAGTAATGGATTTAGTGTGTGTGTGTGTGTATGTGGGTGGGGGGGAGGGTTGGGCAATCAAGCCATTCATAAGAGTAAATGTTTTAGATATCTTGGGTCTATTGTTCAAAGTGATGGTGAAATTGATGGGATATTATTTGTAGAATTCAAGTTGGATGGTTGAAGTGGAGGAATGCATCGGGCCTTTTGTGTGATAGAAAAGTACCCCTCAAAGAAAAATTCTATAAGTTGGTGGCGAGACCTGTAATATTTTATGGCGTGGAATGTTGGCCATTAAAAGAGAATTATTTAAGTGTTGCAGAGATAAGGATGCTCAGCTTGATGAGTGGTTTTATACTTAGAGACAGAATGTTGAATGAGTATATACTTCAAAAGATTGGAGTAGCTTAAGTGACAGATAATATTTGAGAGAGTCACTTTAAATGATTCTGTCACATAAACATTAATCTTTTGATGACCCTGTTAGAAGATAGATGTATTAGATTCGGCCTATGTTAAGAAAGGCAGAGGTAGACTTAAAAAGACTTGGTTATAAAATATTAAAAATGATTATTTTTTTCTTCGATTTACATGAGAATTTGACTCTTAATAGGACATAATGAAGAAAAATGATTCATCCAGCCACCAACCCCACGTAGTCGGATAAAAGCTCATTATTGTTGTTGGTTAATAATTCGGTGGTGGAAACTTTTTCTTATGGCATCTTTTAAACCATGCCTGGTCTAGATAGGGGGATTCATTTAGGAGGAACCTCTTTCTCTTCTTTTATTCTCTCAAAATGTAGTTCTATCACACGAGTATTCGTCTGGTATAGCTTTAAGCAATGTGGACATATTTCTGTGTGGAAAGCATTGTCAAGAACGTCCTTTTGCTTAGATTCATTAGGACCAACGTTAGACTTGCCTTTAAAATTCTATTTTCAAGCATTCCATCTCAATATTTTATCCGATGTTCTTTGGTTTGACTAGCTAGCTTTGTATATGGAAAATCAAACATGTTCTAGGTGAGATATATTAAACCACTCAAAATTCTTTAATGATAGAGAACATGGTTCTATAAAGACTGCCATTGAAAGATTTTTATTAGCTTGTCATTTCCAAGATCATGCTTAACATGCTTAGAATAATCAATTACATTGAAGCTTTCTTTGGGGCAGTTTAAAATATATATATATATATTTTTTGGCCATAAAAGCAGTGTGATGTGCATAGGCTAAAATGCACATAACATGCCGAGGATGATCTATTACCTAGAGCGTGATGTGCCTAGTCTAAAATCTTGAAGTTAGTGCTCCTCAAAAGGAAGGTATCAGGAAGCTCTATTGGTGTACCGTCACCTATTTTTTCTCTCGAGGAACTCAAATTGATCAATCAAAATCGTCTTGGATCTCATAGCCATGCTTGGGTTGCTATCAAATCAACCTTAACGGCAATATCAATATGGTTTAGGCGTTCATAGTCATCACCTCATGCTTCAGGGATGTCCAGATTCTACCATTGAACAAGATTTTGTTCTATATCTTAAGATCAAGATCAGGAGTAGGTATCACTGTAGTGATGTGCTATTTAATTTAATTTGCGAACACATAAAGATCTTCTATAGTTTCTAGAATCCTAGCTTCTCTAGTATAAGAATTCCCTGCACCAGTCGATATTTTCTTATGAACTAAGGACCTCAAACCCATCATCACTTTAAATGATTCTGTCGCATAAACATTATTTTAGCTTGCCTAATTTTTTTAATGTTTTTTTTAAGTTCTCCATTCCTTTCGTAGTCACCAATTGTCACAATAATGTGGCCAACATAAACTTATAGTGTTGAGAGTACCCGTGATACCATGCATGATCTTCTTGACTTTTTTTTCATCTCATGTTGAGCATTATCTTAGCTAACATTCCAAACTAGGCTTTTGAAGATTTCTTCAATCCAGAGAACCTTTTTTAGCTTACACACTATTTGTCCTATATTTGAACCAAATTTTGGCTAGGCCTCTATATGAACTTCATGCTTTAGGTCACCATGTAAGAGTTCATTTGTTAACCTCTGTATAAACAACACGAAAAGGGAAGACGTCATAAATCCCGCGTACATACCTCAAAAACCATCGGATCCTCGAATCTTGCCAGGATTGCGCCGATTCGGCGCCGTCCGCGATCGCTTCCCAGGTATCCTGCGACTCTACAGCACCTCGATCGCAGCTCTTCGACGTCGTTAAATACCAAGCCAAATAGAGCATTCGGGTCTGCTTCCACATACGCGAAAATCCTGAACTCCCTTCCTCCTCCAACCTCCACACCAGCAAACTTCCCTCGATTCCCTCTGCCCTACCCGAATCTCACACAAGATTCATCCAAGCCGAGGCCAAATCTTCTCAAATTCGACCGAACCACCTCACTGCCTCCGCTCCAACAGACCGGCCTTTCTCCATTCAAGCCTTACCCGAGCCTTGCCCTCTCATTTGATCCAGAGAGAGAGAGAGAGAGAGAGAGAGAGAGAGAGAGAGAGAGAGGAAGGAGGGAACCGACCTACCTCCACACCTTGCCGAAGCCTCAACCCCCGCAGCCTTTGCCTCTTATGAATCCAAGCCCTACCCGAACTCCACTTCCCCTAGTCGCCTCCTCCTTCGCGTTCCTTCCGAATTGGAAGTTACCAAATCGGAAGTTACAACATTTGAACGGAAGCAACAAAAGGAGTTCGCTGGTTGTGAAGGTAACTCCTTCCCTCACATGCGCTTCGTCGGCTGAATCTCGTAGATCAAGGGAGAAACAGAGGATTTACTTTGCTGTTAAGACTAAAATTCTATATAAATCCTACTGCAATAGGATTTAATAGAAATAGCGCTCAAATCCTATTTCGTAGGATTTAACTTAAATCCTTTTTAAATTAATTATAATTAAATAAGTTTAATTATATTTGATTAATTTTTTAAATTATAAATTAATTATAATTAGTTATTTTTAATTAGAAATAATTAATTATTATTAATGAATTAATCATAATTAATTAAGTTTAATTATGATTAATCATTTTAATTATAATTAATTTCTAATTAATCATACATTAATTATACTTAATTAAATCTAGTGATAATTAACTAATTTTAATTCTAATTAATTAATATTAATCATAATTAATTATTATAATTAATTACAAAAAGGATACTCCTCTTGCCTCGATCCACGTACCACGAGCCTCCGTTGTCGGTTGCAAAGGTATAACATTTTTAACTAAGAAATCCTTCTCTTGTGGCTTGCAATGGGCCGGCAAACCCCCTACGCTCTCACGTAGCGTAGTAGAGAGGGAAACTGCCAAACTGGCGCGGCGCTTGCGACGACTTAAAAAATCCTTCTTCAATGCTAGGGACAAGCCGACAAACCTCCTACGCGCTCACGTAGCGTAGTAGGGAGGAAACCGGCGTGGTGCTTGCAGCGAGGGGGATATATATAATAAGTACCCCAAACGCTCACATAGTGCAGAGGGGGGGAAAGAAAAATTGTGCTCGGAACCTTTAAATGCTCATGTAGCGAGCGGAGATTTTAATAAATAATATGCAACCGTTGTGTCATTTGACACCTACCTGAAGCGCTCATGTAGCGTTAAGGGGAAGGCTGCCTCTTGATTTTTCCCCTAAACGGGAGAGACGTTGGGAAGCTGCTGAAATTTTGTTCGAAAAAGGATAAGGACTTGAACAAAAAAAAAAAGAACTTGGACTTGAGCTTGAACATTAAATGAACTAAATGAGAACTTGAATTAAAGCTTGACTACAAACTCGGACTCAGATTTGAACCGAATTTGAACAACAATTGGACAGCAGGGGACATAAAACTTGAGCTTGCTACTTGAACTCAAGCAAAAAACTTGATATTAGACAACAAGACTTGGACTCATTGTGGACTCGAATGAATGCAAAAGACATAGAACTTGAACACGAATTGAATTTGAATTTGGACATGAATGAAATTAATGATTAAAAAGGAGAATAATTCAAATGATGACATAATATTTTCAACGATATTATAAGGAATCACTGATATGCAAATGTTAATAAATGATTTCTCTGTTTGACAATAAAAGACTTATGTTAAAATCTCAATAATTATAATTTGCTCATAGTCAAATGAAAGACTCATGTGGAATCATCTTGCATATTGCAAATAATATGTAGAGACAAGGAGTTCACAATTATAACATGTCTACAAGTAATGAACAATCATAAGGATGTGTGATCAAGTCACAAGTGGAGGTACAAGGACATTCCACTGAATGTTGCAGCTCATATGTAAGGCGACTTACATATAAGTGATGACGAAACTCAAGCAATTGAATGATTCAGGATAATTTCCAAAGACATGAATGCACCCTCTTGCAAGCACCCCTCATTCATGAATGATGACGAAAGCTCCAACAATTGATCTCTTTTTGAGATAATTACAATACACGAACATTGAAGATCTTCAAGAATATAGATACCGGCTTGCAAGCAAACAAGGAACTCATGATGTATGGAATCCCCAACACCTCATTCATGAACAATACAGTCATAAGGAGCAGGACCATAATGATTTGATGACAACCCAACTTTGACCAAGTTCTGAATGTCAAGTTGAATAAGATTATCGAGGCTTACGAGTTCTCGATGAATCAGTGATCTCCGAAGTTTACACTTATGATTGCATGGGACTCAAAGGTGAAGGATATATGGTGTACACCAGCTCTTACAGGCTATTGTAGTAGACAGTCATACACACTAAGCATCACCTACGAAGCAAATATGAAGATGTGCAATACATACAAGCTCTCTACAAAGATAGATGTATGCACCACATTCCACCTGTGGGTAGATTCAAAAAGACTTCAGTGAATGCAGTATCCTGTACTCAATTTCAATTTGTGAATGAACACATCTTCCTGCTTACGGGAAGCAGTAGAGGATGTACTAAAAATACCGAAGATCGCAACAAATGCAGGCACTTACTGGCCAAAGCAAGAAATTCGTTAATGCACTATAATCCACTTGCAGAAAATAATAAATAGTGCACGACAGTCTACCTGTATAAAGCAGCGAACAATTCAATTCAGAAGCTGCTACAAGTTACAATGCCACGCCACCGGATCCGCAACATGCATACAAGCAGACAAAAGGCGTGTACGAACTTTCAAGTAGAGCGTTGCATTCAAATAATGGTTGCCTGCTTAATTGATCAAAGCTAAATATCTGAAAATATCCCCGCACATGCACCACAGTTTGTATACACATAGGTACACAAAAAGTGCAAGTTCAATCATAATACCCGCATGGGCCTCAACGAGCATGTTATTGGCACACATGTGATGCTTAGGGATGCTGCGCGAGCCAATAAATTCGAACTCGATCCTTCTAAGCAGCTAAATAGGAGTCGACAAGGTTCAATAAATAATTATTAAATGCCCCCAAACACCCACATGGGCTCCGTCGAGCGTGTTGTTAGTACACGTGATATTTAGGGATGTTGTGCGGGTCGATAAGTGAATTCAAGTTCGAACACGATCCTTCTATGCGAATCAATAGGAGTCGACAGAGTTCGAACCTTCAAACAAATACATGGTTGTGACGATCGGTGTATTTGTTTTAATACATTCATATTAGGCCTTTAAGGCTTTTAAATTCACTAATAAAGTCATAAAGTCTACAAAACCTGATCATTTGTCGATAGCCGGACAGAGTCGAGAAGGTTCAATCCAAAAATGGAACTGACCCCAAAACACCCCGATGATGACTGTGTTGAATGCAAATCTCAATCAGATGGGTTAATCTCAAACATTTCAAAATGTCATCCAAATACCCACAAAATCCAAAATCCAAAATCATCCAAAATCCAAAATATTTAAAATTGAAATAAATCCATCACTTAAAGCAAAATTCATCCACCATCCGCAATAGTTTGCCGGGTGGACATTAAAATTTACTTCAGCTCACATAGAGCTAAATGCCTAGTCAAAAATATCACTTAGATCCATTCTCAAATAATCTCCGGCCATTAAGGACGTGGTACATCTCCTCTGACCGGCGGTTTCGCCGCCAAATGGCAACGCAGGATAAACGGTTATTACCCGGGGTCCTCTGAACCGAGTGGTTTTGCCGTCAAATGGCACCACGAAATACCGGTTATGGCTAGAGCCAATACGTTCTTTAGTGGCATCAAATCTTTGAGATATGAACTAATAGGATATGATCGATAGGGTACAAAGCCCTCTGTTAGCTAAGGTGGATTCAAATTTGTCCCCTTAGATGAACATCCAACGCTACAAGGTCCCCTTGGACGAAGTAACCCATGGCTGCCGATAAGGATCCTTCTGCAGTTCTGCTAGGTTGGGTCAACTACCTCCTCTGACTCAGTAATCCAGGGATCACGATGGCCCGGGACGATGGAACTCCCCTCGCCAAAAGAAAAAGCACATTGCTGGTGGAGGCCGGGGCCGAATTTTAGTAGCCCACATCATTATTACGATCAAATGGATATATTTTATAGTCCTTATTAGCTGTTAATGATGAAAGAACTGAGATGATATTTATTTTAGCAATTAGAGCAATAGTTTCAAGATGATCAATCCTATGCATTTTAGTTTATCATTTAGAAATCAATCTAGCTTTGTACCTTTTTAGTGATAGATCTGATTTGTACTCTACAGTAAAGAATTATCTATATCGTACTAATTTTTTTCGTTATGCAATTTTATCAATTCGAATGTTTTATTTCTTTGAAAAGCTTTTAATATCTTCTTTCATGGCATTATCATAATTCTTTTTATTTAATATATTATCAGAGTATGTCTTAGGTAGAAAATTAACATGCATGCTAGTAAGGAAGGTTTGGTGATTGTGAGAAACTTTCTTTCTGATAAAAGCTAGATAATGTTTAGTGAAAGTTCTTACACCTTTGTTATTATAGTAGGTTCAATAGTTCCTTGAATGGATTTAGTGATAGGAATTGATTCAGTAGATTGATGGATTAATGACTTTTTTCTTGAGTAAACGTGGTGTGGTTATAGTCCAGGTATATAGGCTTGATTTGGGTAAGAGTTGGTTGATTTTGGGCTGTAGTTGCTTGCCAGGATCATTTGCCAGTGACATTTCTTACCAAGGATAAATAGTAAAAAAATAGTGTTCTTCTTTGAAAGTTTATGTTTTGGAATGTGCATGTACGAAATCAATGTTACAAAATATTTGGGCCTTTGGGGAACAATATTATTTAAGGTATTGAAGTGAGGAAAGAATATTACCAAGTCTTGTACGAGTGTTTAAGACTTTTAATCCAAATACCCTTTGTTAATAAATAGTTTTTTATGTGAGCAGTCGTTAAAGCAACCTTCAACCTCAATATTAGTTCTGAACCTAATTCTGTGAGTGCCAGTGCCCAGGACTATTTTGTGCCTCTGTAATTGTGATTAAATTCACTAAAAAAAAAGAAGATTCTGTAACTGCTTGTATTTTCCACAGGGCAACAAAGTCAGAAAACGTGACGGATGGCAGATTTGGTTATTTAACCCACGACAAAATAAGGATAACACGGAATCTGAACCTAATTCTCAGACTACCACAAAACAAGATTCTCTTGTTTCTCAGATGGAGAATATTGCGCTCAACGAAGGAAATACTCGGACCAATTGAAATCTTTATTTGAGTCAGGCGACTTTCGACTGTAGCCTTTAAGGTAACAAAAAAAAACTGTATAGTTTTTTCCCCTTATTATTATTATTTGGAGTCCTTTTTGGGTGCTGCTGCTGCCTCCTCCTCCTCCTCTCATGATCATTTGTGAACTAACTAACCCTCTCCATCGTCTTTTGTCTTTCTTATTTCTCTTTCTCGAGTTGCAGAAACTTCCATTCTTTTGTGAGTAGCGGAGTCGGAGAAGTGATTCACTATCATTCCTCCCTCGCTCTCTAATCCTCCTACTTACATTACTCGCCTCTTTTCTTCCTGAAGAACTTGCATTATATTACTTAAAATGTATTTTTTTTTTTTTCTGCTGGATCTGCTTTCACATTGAGCTTTCTTCATGTTCATAATATCATATGAATCCTTTATCTATTTTATTATTTATTAATTTATTTGTTTATTTATTCTGATATTTCTAACTCATACATGTGCATTCATACAAAATAGTCTTGTATTATACTAACAAAAAGTATTTAAAATGTTCAAAATGTCATTAATGACTTAAAATTTCAAGTAAGCTGAATTCATCTCATTTTAGTGCTCAGCACTAAATTTATTTATTTAGGGTTTAGGGTGGATGATTATATAATTCAAAATGTGAGTTGTAAACTTCGAATAGGTTTTGAAAATGGTACAAGTATGAAACGGGTATCTTATAAATATATATGATATGAAATTAGAATGTAAAATACAAAATAAGGTGCCATGAGGGACGATGGGGCTGAGGGAATTTTCTGAAAGCTCTAATCTTTTAAGCATTTTTCTTTCTTTATTTATTCATCAAATTTAATTAATGATTACATATTCATAAAAATGTATTACATTATGTCATCAAACTATTCAATCTCCCTATTTGAATAAATATTGTACTAAAATATCTCTACAATAATTATATTATGATGAATTTAAAAAATATTCAATTTATTTTGAAAATTGATATAATATAAATTCTTCATATTCATTATTACGTTCAAAATAAATTTAATGATATATAAATTCATTCAATGAACGCTGAATTCAAAATTATGCGAATCACATCTCAAATAATGAGGCACAATTTCTTAAAATAACCTCCAAATAGATAGATATAGAGAGAGAGAGAGAGAGATTAGTCTCAATATTAATAAATGTTCTATTGCTTCTCGTTCGAATGGTAATCCTCTCTTTTGTCTGCTATCATAAAATTTTCGTTCAATTTTTTTAAAACTTTGTGAATTTTTAGACCATCGTTGTCGTGGGAAGGACAAAATTAAAATTTCAAGTGATATAGAGGATCAAGTTTTTTTTGTTGCAATTCAGGAGCTCAAATTTATATTTTTATGATAACAAATACTATTAATTTGTATTCAATTTCTCCTATATTTTATTATTGTATATATTTTTTGTGTAATGACATTTTTTATTCAACATAAATCAAAAATCGTCAAAGAATTAGGACTCAAGGTTGGATAGTTAGGTTTGATTTATGCAAGAGTATGTATCTTTTTTTAAAAAAAAAAAAAAAAAAAAAAATCTTAGGTTAATCCTTGTAAAAAGGTATTTGTTAGCTTAGCAATCGTGCACATACAAGGTTGGATGAAATTAAATATTTTAATTTTTTTGAAGATCATTATAAACTATTTGATCGTATTGTATGATCTATGTAATCATAAATTAATTAAAATACTTAATTAATTGAGAAATAAATTGAAATAAAATTTAACTAATAGTATTGTACGATCGCCATCTCATACATATCGTACAAGACAATCGTATATTAAAAGAAACATCATCTTTAATTAAATTAGGAGAAATTTTAGATTTTAAATTTTGTTCTTTTTGTACTGTATGAGCATAATCGTATTGTAGGATACTTTAAAATATTGTTTAAATTAATCCTATGATTAATAAATTGAATTTCCTTAATTATGATTTGATCATACTGTATGAATTATATCGTATTGGACAATCGACAAAGATGTTTTTGGTCATCCTGAGATTTATCTTGTACGAACTATGATTCGATTGAACTAATCGTATTGTACCACTGCTCATTCATACAATACAATTAGTAAAGAAATTAAGCTGATCGTACTATACTAATATTCATTATACAATGGTAACATACAAGAATTGAATTGATCGTGTTGTACTAACTAACAATTGTACAATACTAACAGGTCAAAAATATGCTAATCATACTGTACAATATTAAGATTGTATTATATGAATAGAGACGCCTAAATTGAATTTTTAGGATTTTTTTTTTAAACTCTTCTATTTAAGCTTTCTTAATAAACTTTGTAGGGGTATTTTAGCAGTCATTAAATTAGTTATCACTAAGACTCTTTAAACAACCATATACATAATCATACATATGTAATTAGTTGCATCTATATCAATCAATGAAGAGTGATTTCACAATAAAAATTTATAGAAGTTCCTATCTATAAGTCTTATAATTAATTAGGCTTCGGTTCTCTCTTTTATTAAAACTAAATAAGCGTATAAATATAGATTAAAATTAAAAGAAGATTTTTATATAGATTCATTAATGTCAAATAAGCGTATACAATTACTCTCACATCATGTGACTGTAAATATAGAGAACACGTTTCGATCGTATTAATTTATAATTTCAATAATTAAAAAAAAATTATCGTCCTTCCCATTCCCAAAAAGCAAAGAACACAAAACTATCGGCTTTTTTTCTAAGAAGATATATTTCTTAGGAAGAGGCGAAGGGCATCTGCCAAAAAAATATCCTAAGAAGAGCTAAATAGTAAATACTATTCTCTCTCTCTCTCTCTCTCTCTCATGGAAGAAGTCTGGAAAGGCATCGCCCTCTCCAATCTCCCACCCAACCTCCCTTCTCCTCCGCATTCTCTGCGGCACAGCGCCGCCGCCGCCGCCGCCTTCCATGATTTCCTCTCTGGAACTTTCAAAGATTCCCACCCTCCTCACTCGCCGGACTCTCTCCCTTCTTATACTCTTTCTCTCCGCTCTGGCAATCAACCCGAGCCCTTTCTCCCACGTAAGCGCTGCGCCATCGATCATCAGCCGGCTTCCACCATCACTGACGGCGGTGAAGAACGCCGTTGGAAGAAGATGATAAAAAACAGAGAGTCTGCGGCACGATCCAGAGCTAGAAAGCAGGCATCTTTGAAACCCCCCCTTTGATCTGCAAAACCAATCCATGATTCAAATCTTGGATTTTGATTCTAAAAAATTCTTCTTTTTATTTGTTTATTATTTTGAAATCTTCAAAAGGCTTATACCAACGAGCTGGAGATGGAAGTTGCTCATCTTGTACAGGAGAACGCCGCACTCAAAAGAGAGCAGGAGAAGGTGATGAGACTTGGTGACTCTTTTCTTTTATTTTTTTAATTTTATTCTTAATTTGTTACGATGCTTTAATCAGATATTTATGTTATTTTTAAGATAATATCTTTGTTTTTTTTTTAAATTGTATAGTTATTTATTGCTTTAATCTATCAAAATTTGAATAATTTAACAGAGAATATAATATAATATGGTGGACCGAAAGTTTGGCTAATAAAGTTAAGGCCAAAATTATGAATTCCATATAGTTATAATGAATAGGAAATATTGATTAAACAGGAAAACATTTCCTCTAGTAATATCGAACATTAATGTATTTTTTTAAATTACATGTTATTGAAGGAAATAATCCTTCTTATTGTTTTGGTCTGATCTTTTATACTTAATTTGGCTATCAATAAAATATTGTTTGATTTGTTGTGATGGACATCAGCTAAAGATGGTGATAGCGGCTCAGGCGACGAGCAAAGGGAAGCTGCAGCGAGCTTCAAGTTCGCCATTTTGAGAAACTTGTTGAGAGTACTATATATTTGCCCTCTTCTTCTTCTTCTTCTTCTCTATTTTTCTTTTTTGGTTGTAAAAAAAAAGTATATATATGGTGAGCTATATCAGCTTAAAGTTAATATCTCATATAATGTAAATTTTATCCATATATAATAATAGTATTGCTTGCAATCGACACTAACCATGCATCTTTTTTTTTTTTTTTTCATTGTAAAATATGTAACTAAACCCTAAACGCCTGACGTGGAGGGCCCACCGAATCATGTAGTGGATGCTGCTGGGAAAAAAAAAAAGAAGGACACGTGGAAAGTGGAACGAGAAGGCGAATATCTGCCCAGAAAGAACCAGGGGTTTGCTCCTCTCGCTTAAAGCCTTAAATTGAAGGGTTCTCACGCCAGGTCCCCAATGCAAGTGGTAAGTGACCGTCTTCAGGAAAAGAGGGCTGGGTCCCACTGCACTCAGTCGTTTCGGACCGCCCATCTAAAATGATACTCTATACGAATTAGAATCTTATCATCTAATAATACGGCCGAGCCAAAGCTCTCTCCTATGCTTTCGGATTCGTGCTGTCGAATTGTTCTCCTTCTCCTTCTATCGTCCCTTGCAGTACGACTCTCGAAACTGTCGTGGGATTCTAAGCGGCTCCGCTTATTGCTTGGTACGCTTATGATTCTGCCAGTAATCCAAATTCCTACACTCGCATAAGACGAAATTTAAGGGTTGATTGATTTCTAATACTTACAGTTCTTTAATGCTTATTTTTAAAAGGGATATATAAATATGCATATCTTCTTTGATTTAAATATAATATATTTAAAATATTTAATTTATAGATCACATCAAAACATTCATGCAAAAGAAAGAACTTACTAAGCTGCAATCAGTACATGGAGATGGGTTCACAGATTCTCAACTAACACATAAATTCAGATTAAAAAAATATATCATAATGTTGAATGAATATAGGAGCAGCAGAAGTCGAAGAAAACATAAGATTGAGTGTTCATTGAACATACCTAGCTCAGCTGATAGCATATGCATCTCCATCGCTTTCATTGTCATAAAAATCTCGATATATGCTCTCTGCCATCTGCCAGACTTGCAAAATGTTATCCTCAGCGACACTGGCGAACACCCAGGGCTCCTCAGGGTTCCATGAGAACTCGGAAATCTTTGCAGTGTGGCCTCCATGTACAAAAAGCAGCTCAGGAGGCCCATCCGAGGCATCCCCTTCATTTTGCTCATCACCAATTCTGACAAGTTTTTTTTCACCCAATCAAATTAGGATGAACTGCTTTCTTGTTTATTTAATAATATTATGCAATCACAAAGAGTAAAAAAAAGTACACAAGTAAAACAGATCACTCTCAGGGTAAAAAAGTATACTACAATAGCGAGCGATTCAGGAATCTAATTGTGCTCAGTGCATCTAATTGAGCGATACAGAAAAAAAAAAAAAAGAATTTGGGCTCAGTGCATCTAATAGTGTAGCGCGCGAGTCTAGCTTGTAGTCGAACGATAATTGTGATTTCCAAGCAAGTTCTAGAATGATACCCTTCATAAGTTTTAGTAAGAACCCCTAGTAGCTAGCCAGTACACAGGGCATGTAGCCAAGTTCCTTAGGCGACTGAGCTTGATAAATGGGCAACTTCATGAATCCTTTTATCTAGTTCAGTTGCTCGATACTAACAAAGTCAAATTGGAGCAAAATTTCTGAGTAACTTAATGAGCTACTTTAAACAATTCAAGGCCTTAGGCAACTTAGAGCTTAGCAAATTTCGAGCCGTCGGCAGTTCAAGCCAATTCGTATTTAGCGACAAGTTGAACCTGATCTAGCATGATGATTTGATTAACTTGGCTAATGCGAACATGGGTGCACATCAATTTCTCAATTCTCTTGACTTTCCATGAAGCCAAGAAGAACAAGAGAATAAAATTCCAGAAACCCCAAATTCGACCAAGGTGATTTGGACTTGATATGGAGCATTCTGCAGAGAACATAGAACTTTGACATGTGGTCGAACATAGCTATGACCCAAACCGCAGAGCTCCCATTGCTATAAACAATGAGCATATAGCAATGTTATCACTGCCAATTTATATCATAAGGTTCTACAGCTATAGGGCCATGTGATTGACTGAAATCCTTTTTCATGCATGCACGAGGAGCTTTGGAAAGTAGCCGAAAAAGATCTTCACTATTCAACATCTTACTCGAAATAGGTTAACCATGGTTGCAAAGCAACGGAGATTTGAATACCCTTTCTTAGGAACATATATGACTAAACATGTGTATTATATGATTACTTTTATTGCTCGCTGGATGGCTGGCATTCACCGCATCAAAAACCCTAGTTCTTCCGAAAGAAGCATCTAGAAATGACTAAATTTTGGGCTTTGCATGGATTAGGTCAAATAGCGAATCAAGCCACACGAAAGGATTAGAACTTTTTTCCCTAAGGCTCATGGAGGGATTGATCTAAAACTGCATGTCCCCGTGAAAAAAAAGGAATACCTCCGGTGAACAGTACAGTTCAAGGCATAAGCAGGTTTCTACTTTTTTTATTTTTAATGAATTAAAATCTGACTTAAACGATATTTGACCTGGTTTGGTACATGATATTTAATGGTCATGCTGGAAGAACAGATGTTGTTGTTGTTGCTCTTGTTGCTAGAAGTACAAATTACTCATCCCATACCCAAATAATTTCTATTCATGGTGCTGAAATACCAAAATCAAATACACTGTAGCAATTACAGAAAGAACATTTCATTCACCACTCCAGCTTGTATGCTTCTATCACTCAGTAGAACTCGAAAGTGCTGTCAATGAAGCTCTAGCATCAGCTCAAAATGTCTAACACAAAAATGAGAACCTCGGCAGGTTTGCACTCTACAGATTGTTTGCTACAATTACGTTCCTAAAAAATGGACTGCCACAGTGAACTACATGCTACAAGTACATTCAGTTCTTCATTGTCCACCAACGCACATGCAAGAAATAATTTCAACTTATTCCATGCATTGGCACTGTTTCCAAATGCTAAAACCTGTTCTAACCATAGTATCACATGCCATTGCATTCCCATAACTTTGAAGCTTCCTTGCTTTGATCATGACTTAGGAGCCAATACCTCACATGCCTCATACCTGGGGTATTGCCTAGAAGATGATTTAGTTTATAAGGCCTATGAGCGTCACCTAGCAATCGAGGAAATGAGACTACCATTCAATATAAGAAAGCGTATGAAACATAACGCTAAATATTAAAAGTAATAAGTTAATTAAGTGGACATAATCTAAGTTAACCCAGAATAGAGGTTACGTATCATCATTAATACAAACAAGCCAGATGCTACTGGAGCGCCATGTATAAAAGTTGCTATTATCTAGGTTTTGTTCAAATATACAAGAAATGACAAAATGATGTCCTTTTTTCTTTTTATTTGAAAGTTAAATGAGTCTGTCACTGTTTTAATAATTAGGAGCAAAATAGTTCAAAATTATCTGCACAATGCGAATAAATGCAGATTATATCCAGTATTGAGAAACCTACCGGCAAAGGTCCCAAACCATCAGTCTTTTATCCTCAGAAGATGAGGCCAACAGAGTTTCGTGATGAGGGCTCCATTCAACCTGAAGTACAGGTCCTCTGAAAGTATATAAAAAAAAGAGAAAGATTAACCATAGTTCATTTGCTAAGAAATCACATATTAAAGCATGGTGTCTTCAAATACTGAAATGCACTTAAATCTCAAACCACAATACAAGCAAGGGCATACTCATTAGAAACAGTAGAATAAAACAAATTCATAAATATGCGTTAAGGAATCCCAACACGAAAGAAGAAGAAAAGGAGAAAAAAAATTGGAAGGAACCTTGCTCTGATACCATATAAGAAAATAGATATAAAAAAAAGACTTTGAATTTTATTGCTCACTTTCTATTCTCAAATAGGAGAAATTATAGGCTTCCCCAGAGATATTATATATATGGAAAAAGGTAAGTATTATTTATACAAAATAATAAATAATCCAAAAAAGTGGGGGAGAGAAACATATGGGTTGCAATCCATAGGTTAAAAAATGAGAAGATACAATGGCTAAACTCCTCATGTGTGTTCTTAATAGATCATATTATGATTGATTGCAAGTTGGGACCACGGCTTCTCTACCTAGGGCAGAAGACTTGGAGTGGGTGGATGTAGGATGAAGTCGGAGAAGTGGGGTCCCACACCATGGTCTTCAACATATGGTGCTTCAGCTGTTTCAAGTTCTTGGTATGAAAGCTTGAAAAATGAGCTAAGTGATTTATTATGTATCTGACTTAATTTTCATGCAGAAATCCAACTTTAAGGTAGGTATCAAAGTTCTTGTGCCAAATCATGAAAATTTCTTAGGTGATTTCATGTCTTGATATAATATCATGCATGAATCACATGGTGAAGTAGGTATCAAGCTTCTTACGGGAAAACCTGAAAATGTATTAGGCAATTTTGCATAAATTATGTAGCTTAAGATAGGTAACTTTGCATAAGTTTGGTAATTTGCATTAGGTTGGTAGTTATATAAATTGATGCATGGAAGCTTAATTAACAATGGAAGCAAAAGGCAATTTTGAGTTTTAATGATTGAGTTGAGAAACAATTGAGAAAAAAAAAAGTTAAGAGACTACGAGAAAGAAAGAGAGAGAAGGAAACCAAAAGAAATTCATTTTTTCAGATATTAAAGTATCATCTTAACAATAATGATATCATTTTTTACGAACTTACAAAGTTTGGCAATTTTTTACTTCTAAAGCTGGTAAATTCTTATGTATTTATTTGATCATATTTCTTTATTAGGTATACTTATCTTCTAAGAATTAAGAGTTCTCTTATATCTTTGTTTAGCAATATTATACTCAAGTTTTGAGAATGATTTGTGAGTGTTTATTATTATACAGCATTATTATAGCTTCTTTAATAGTGGATCAGATCAAATCCTCCTCCCTGTTGGTAAAAATTTACCTAAGTTTAACCATGTAAATTTTAATGCTCAGTATTTCTAGAACTTGATCTTTTTACAATTACTTTGTGGTTTATCCTACTTATGCTTAGATTAATGCTTCTGTGGCATAAAATTAGGCATATCATTTTCCTAGCAATATAAGGAAATTATTCAATAATTTTATTAAGATAAATCAAAAAATTCAAATAGAGACTTTTAGGATAAATATAAAATATCTTTTTATTTGTTGAGGATAAAATAAGATTTAAATTTAAATAATTTTCTTTTTAAATAACTAAAAGTGGAAAAATTAATTTCATCTCCTTAAACTCTTATATATAGAAAAACAATAAACGGAGCCAGAATGTATGAAAAAGAGGAGCCAAGTGAATCCTTTGTCTGGTGTGTATTTATGATGCCAGTAGCTAACAAGAAGCACGTTTGTGATTCAATATATTTGTTAAGAAAGTTAATATTGAATAGTTATTATCAGGTCATTTTCTAAACATCCAAACACAAACAAAACTTTGTTTGATCTTGTATATATATTTCAAATGTATAATTGGTAAGTGGATGATTCTATTGTGTTCGACTTGTTATTCATTCATTTTTAGTTATTTGAAATCGGCTCATGTTCACTTCTAATTTAAATGAGCCAAACAAGAACAGATGTTCACGAATAACTTCAAAAACGAACCAATTTCAAACTACCAAATTTTGAACTTGCCAAACAAACATACATCAAGTTTGCTCAAACTTGCTTGTTTACACCCCAACTTATCTGCAATAAACTTTCATGTTGTAAGCCTGGTGGGAATAAAAATAACGAGGCTTTGAGTACAATAGCTGAAAGAGCTAAGATGAGAAAAGAGAAGATAAACAAAAAAAAAGAGTTTCTAGAGGCTCATGGAGAACTATCTTGATGTGACATAAAATATTGACAAAAATAACATAATGACTCCTATGAAACCTTTTTAGGACATTCAAGTGGAGAAATTATGGTGGGTTTAAGCATTTTTCTGTATACTATATCTTGTATCTCTTTTGTGATTATCTCGTGTTTAATTTATGAGATTAAGTGATGAGTACATCATCAGAGATTTCAACACGTGTACTATCAGAGACACCGGAGATCGACGGCTACGATTAGGAGCTTATATTTTGAGTCATTTTATGTAGTTTTTTTTTCAGTTTTACGGTTTTACCCTTATGGGTGGTCATTTGATGTTGTAGCCCCGAGTGCATGATAGTCTTTGTTTCTTTTCTTTGGTGAGATTTATATATAGGTCATTTCTATTGTATTTGAGATGATGAATATTCATATGAAATTTCAGCTTTAGTTTTGGATCTCTTTGTGAGTTCTTGAGAGGTGAGGATTAGCCTAGGAGAGGCTCCAAGAAATACCCAACAGCCCCCCTTTGTGGGAGCTTTTGGTTCCTATCTTCTTCTTCTTCCAATTCTTCCCTTCTCCCCTAGCCGCCGGCTTCCCCACACCACCCACCACCGGACCGGCCAACCACCCCTTCTCCTCCCCTTTCCGTTAACCCCTAGACCCCGCCCCACCACCTTCCGCCAGCCCCTCTTCCCCCACATCCACCCGCCGAAGCCCACACCTGGAACCGCCGGCCACTCAGGGAATCCCCACCCGCCGACCATCCAAAATCCACCCTAGGAGTTTGATTTTCAAATTCAATTCAGCTTTCATTAGTTTCCTAATTCGTTCCCTTGTCATTTAGGAGGTTTCATATTTGAAATTCAAATTGAAATTTGAATTTTGAATCCCTCCTTAAATGAACTAACCCAATTGGGAAACTCTTCACATCTAATCAAATTTGAATTTAATTTCAAAATTTGATTTAATTATTTATTCAATCACATGGGCCCCACCCACATTAAATGTGAACACCTAAAATGAACCCACATAGGCCGGCCCCTTTTCTCTTTCCCCCTTCTCTCTCCACTTTGCCACCTAAGCAATATTTAATTCCCCTCCCTAAATCCCTCTAGTAACCGCCAGCCCCATTACTCCCTTAATTGGGTTAATTTGAATTTCAAATTGGCCCCTCCCATTTTATGAAAATCTGAAATTAAACTTCAGATTTTCCCTCTCATCTCCTTTCCCCCAAGCTACTTGTTTCAACCTAAAGACTCCCAACCCTAGCCGCCCCCTCACCCTCCCAAGTCTTCTCCCATCATCCCCTCACCTCCTCCTCACCAATCTCAAGAGAGATTCTCCCAACCCCCACCACCATCATGCATGGCCGATCCGAAAGTCGACCATGGTTTCTTATTTGATGATCGAGGACGAACCAATATCCTTGAATCTCCTTTCTTTGACGTGAACCTACGTGTGGATTCTTTTGTGGAGGATTACTTGAAGCGCGTCCTTTTTACGTTAGTACCTTCCATCGAGGAGCATATTCATCCCGGACGTCGGATATTCACTAGTCATCTCGTGGACTCCCCGCCGCCGGCTACTTCTCCCACGGACTATACCTTGGGCACCATTTGTCTCCTAGTGGCATTGCTCGGTTTGCTCTCAATCTTCCTCCGTTAAAGCCCCCATCGTCAAGAGCGTGAGTGAGGGACCCAAGGTGAAAAGTTCTTTTTGTTAACCGTGGATTATTGTTTCTTCGCCATAACATTACACTTTTATTTTATGTTGTTATCTTGATAGCATCCCGTTAATCTAGTTGTAACTACATGCCTTGCATAGTCTCTAATTGATAATTCCGAAAGTCTAACTGGGGTAAGAATCAATTCCATAACTAGCAAATTTTTAATAATCTTATATTAAAATCCCCAAGTAGTTCTTGTTCCTTTGCATGGTTTCACATCATTAAGATAGTCTCTTTTGTGGTGAGATTGGGTGTAGTCCTTGGTTTAGGAGAAAAGTGCTTATTGTGTCACTTTAATCTATATGCATATATGGATTTTATATATAGTGAATCAAATCCCATATCTTCTCTCATAGATGCATGCTTTTTTTGTCCAAACAATTTTGTGGTGTTTTATCTCTTTATCATTTCCTTCTGTGTTCATATATATATATATATATAACCTCTCTTTTTGACAGTAAGACGTCAAAAGCATAAAAGAGGCTTGGAAGTGGAGAACAACAAAGATTACAAGAGCTCGTTATCACATTACAACAAAAATAACATCAAGCCTTTATCCCACTACGTGGGCTCAGCTACATGAATCCTTTTCCTCCATTGTGTCACATTAAAAGTCAAATTCTCATTTAAATCTAATAAAGAAAGATCATTCCTAATATCTTCTAACCAAGTATTTTTAGGTCTGCCTCTATCTTTTTTAATATAAGTCAAATTTAATACTTCTACTCTCCTAACTGGGTCATCGGAAGGCCGCCGTTTTATGTGACCAAACCATCTAAGGCGACTCTCTCTAATCTTATCTTCTACTAGAGCTACTCCAACCTTTTCACGTATATGTTCATTTCGTATCTTATCTCTAAGAGTAAAGCCACTCATCCACCTGAACATCTTCATCTCTGCCACACTTCACTTAATATTATGCTTCTCTTTTAATGGACAACATTCGGCACCATAAAACATTGCAGACCTCACCACCATCTTATAGAATTTTCCCTTAAGTTTGAGGGGTACTTTTTCTATCACACAACAAGCCCAATGCATTCCTCCACTTCAACCATCCAACTTGAATTCTGCTGATAATATCCCAATCTATTTCACCACCACTCTAAACAATAGATCCAAGATATCTAAAACATGTACTCTTATTAATCACTTGATCGCCCAAAGTCACAATCCCCTCACTAGGTCTATTACTACTAAAATTACACTCCATAGCAAATAGACTCTATATTTCTCCATCAAACCTCTTAATAAATGTATGGCTTCCATAGTCGACCTACCCGGCATGAATCCAAATTGATTTTAAGAAACATTAGTATCACACCGCAACCTATGCTCCATAACTCGCTCCCATAGTTTTAAAGTATGACACGTTAACTTAATTCCTCTATAATTCGCATAATCTTGTGCATCACCTTTATTCTTAAAAATAGGAAATAACATATTCATTCTCCACTCATCTGACATATTTTTAGTCCTCAAAATAGTATTAAAAAGTTTAGTAAGCCAAGAAATTCCTTCAACTCCTAAGCATTTCCACACCTCTATTGGAATATCATCAGGTCCAACAGCTTTTCCACCCTTCATTTTCTTTAAAGTCTCTCTAACTTCGATTTTACTAATACGCCGATAAAAACATAAAGCTTTATTTTCATTTAGGGTGTTAAGGTCACTACAATCAATCTTATTTTCACAATCACATTATTGCTTTCAAAATCAATCTCACTCTAATTATGAACTTTTTGTATATTATGATGAAGAAAACATTAATGATGCATAACTCCCAACACCATTCTAGGAAATCCCAAATCTTTTTGATTCATGGATGTTGCCCTTGTCTTGGGGGGTAAATGATGCTTCTTATAATACAAGTACTCAAGTAGGCTTCACTTTATATTTTCCAATATTCAAAATTTTTTAACTAAACTTATCAATATTTACCTTTTATGTGCAACAGTCATTACTCACACTTTTCCCTTGAAACCTTGTAATTTGCTCAGATTTTTATTAATGGAAAAAATAATCGAGAGCATATGGGATGATAAAACAAAAATACGAAAGAATTAGCATAGGAAACACAAAAATATACATGAATCAATAAGATTTACTCGCATACATCTATGATCATACATAGAAATACTTATGCTATAATTGAGAAAAGAACATCATCATTTTCTCTTCCACATAATCCTCAAAATATTAATAGGATAATAAAGAACCAAATAACAAAATAAGAGATACCCAAAATCCTAATTTGTATCCTAGGTCAAAGCAATAAGATAATATTGTGCTTTTTCCAGTGCCATGCTTTTTACTTGCAACGAGTTCAACAATAGCACTAACAAAAAAAAAAAAAAAAAAAACAATAGCACTAACAAGTTTACAGCATGCTAAGATAATTCTCCAAAGCCTCCAAAAATATAATTTAGAGGTTTTTTTTTTTTTCCTTTCGACTTTAGTCATCTCTCTGCAATTCTCCCTTCCTTACTTTCTTCTACAATCTCTAGCTCATCTGTCTACTCTTCTCTTAGTCCTCTCCCTACGCTTCTCTCTACCAAACCCACTAGCCAAAAACACTACTTAGCTTCACTGCAAACTATAACTTCGCTGGATCCAGTTCTCATCTTCCTATCAATTAGAGTTGGACGGATGAAAATTTTTGATCAAATTAACAAGAACAAAGGATAATTCATTCAATTTATATTTATTCATAATTTTTTTTATTTGAATCTTGTGTTTATTCTATAAAAAAAAATAGACCCAACTACACCCTAATGAGAGATTGAATACAGAGCATATGGCTTTGTCATACTGCATTTTAGCAAACATACTACCGATTGCAGGAAACGCTAAGAATAAAAGAAATAAAAATAATCATCAAAGTCCAGGGAGATGCATTACTAGGCTTAAGCTTAGCCATTGAAGATAGAAGATTTGAAGCTAAGATAATTCAAAATCTACCATTAATATTGAAATATAACAAAATAATACATGAAAAAAAGGCATCAACGATTTCATGGATAAGTTTAATAACTCATCATCAAGACCGAATGAGACACATACGTGTGGCTATAGAAAGTGTGCAAACTCGATGTCAGCTTCCGTAAATCAAACAGTTTAATATTTGTGTCCACTGATGCAGTCGCAAGAAGCCACTCATTAAATGGGTTAAAGGATAAACTGTTAACCTGAGGGGAAAAAACAAAGTTAGTGCTATGCTTATCTTATAGTCTATGCAACGCAAAAAATGGTCAAATGATGAAAATGGTAAGAGTTCCTGAAGAGTGTGAAGAGATGGAGAAATGGAGAATCAATCGAGATTTTGAGAAAGCGAAAGAAAAAAAATATACAATAAACTTGCTATTCTACTTAATCAAACGTCAACTAAAGTGAAAGAATATTCTACTCATGGTTAAATTCTCTTGGGACTTATGGATTTATTGATTTATGAAGCACGAATCATGCAAATAATACAAAAAAATGCATTAAGCACCAAGGAGATGGTGAAAACAAGCCACAAGAAAGCAAATGATTTATATATATATAAAATAAATAAAGTATGAAAACTATATAATATCAACATCTTTTTAGGTTTTATCAAGTGCAATGTTTGCAAACTCATATGTACTACAGGTTTTGCTATAGTGTGGACAAACAATAATAGCTACCATCAATAGAAAGAGAGAAATGAAAGTAAACAATGGGATGAAGAATTAGAAAAATACCTGTATCACTCTAAGAATAATACGAAAAAAGTGGAAACTAGTGCATGAGAAATTATGCAAGAAAAGAGACGTAGCAGAGAAGGGGATGGCACTGATTCATAGCATGTCCAGGACATGTTGAGGGCAATTCATAGGCATGCTGAGATGTGTCTTGCTCTTGTCCCCTTATTTTTTTTCAAAGAAGTTGGCTTAGATTTTTCATACAGATGTCAGGTTCATAGAAATGTCCAACACTATCATGACATTCTTGAAGTGACCAATCTTCTAAATTAAAATATGCACCTAAGAAAAACCTGTTCCCTCCAACAGCTATTGAGATTCTAAACTTCGTAAGGCCTATCAAGAAAAATGTCTCATATTAAAAACCCATAATCTTAAGTAACATGCACAGCAGAAAAATAGCAAGGATGTCAGACAGTAAAATTGTCTCATAGGAAAAGAAGTAAAACAAATTCTATCAGAAATACGGATATGATCCTACAAAAATTTTACTTGGAGCTAATTCTACATTTTTTTAAGTAGTGAAATCAATCCCTTCAAATTGTTTCAAGCTCATTGTGTTTAATTTACTTGATTCAAAAAGACCAACATTTTTTTTCCTAATCAAAATTGGGAATGGCCTTCTTGGAGCTCAAAGCTTATCAACGTATACAATTAGTATAAATTACCCTCCATGAATTATAGCTATATCCGCTACCTGCATTCCACCTCATCAACCCATGTACTCAGGATACCTACACGCTATTTTAATTTAATTAATCATACAGTTAATTCCGGTCCTGATTTTGCATGCTTCCTATTATGTAACTCTCTTAGGGTTGTATAAATATGGGTCAAATGATGGAATAAAAGTCAAGTAATTTCGTGCTCAACTTTGTTTGTCATGGTATCATAGTAAGGATTGTAAAGCATTCATCTCTCTCATCAGGATCCTGTAAGGGATATTCGCCTTCTGTTGCGAGGGTTCTAAAAAGATCTGAAAGGATCCTCTAAACAACTGTAAGGATCTGTCACTCACATTTTGGCATGTTCAATCACGCTTCTCGCGCACTTCATCACCCAACTAATTTTGTTGCAAGCGCTGTTAGCATTGTTCGCGCCTTTAAAACTTGTTCAGCATGCATTCCTTGCCTCCACCACATCCTATACACATGCCTACACATTGTCTAATAAGGGGCTCGCATCCCTTGCAGCGCCAGTCAACCCACTCACCCATTTCCTCCCTAGTCAACTCGTGCAAAGCCTGTTTGCTATTCATAGGGCACATAAACCGGCTCGTTGTTCGTAGAAGCCGCTTTCATATAACTTCTATTTAGTTACTCCAGTGGAATCTTTGCTCCGGAAGCGAACATCACATGTGCCACTTTCACAGCAATATGCGCATGCTTCATACCCATGAACTTAAGTCACGAGTGTTGTTCGCAGTCTTAGTTCATCCTTAACTTGCTCGACGGAAGCAATCACGGCTCATTCTTCTATTCTAAAAAAATTACAAAATAAAAAATCACATCAACTATGACAAATATATAGACCAATAATATGGATGTTTTGTCATACAACTAGTAAAAATTACTCGAACTAGAAATTTCATTTTCAATTATTTATTATGAGAAAATATTATGAGGGCATGTTCATCCTTTTGAAAGACCAAATTTGGGTCCATGGCAAAATAAAGATGCAAGAATCATGACATGGATCTTGGGATCCATTGATTAGGCGATTATTCTCAATTTATTGCCACATAAGACAACCAATGATACATGGGAATATTTATGAAATTTCTAAAATTAAGATAATGCAGCTAAATGTTTTTAATTAACATATGAGATTGCTAATTACACAAGCAAATCTCTCAAAACAAAACTATTTTTTGGGCTACAAAATTTATGGATTGAGTTAGTGGATAAATTTTATTCAAAAGTATCATTTGAATCTTTTTTGGTTGTTCAAGAGGTTCGCAAATAGAACAAAAAAGACCAATTATTGATGAAGTTTCATCCTAAATTTGAAGTTGTTCGTTCCAACTTGATGAATCATACCCTTCTCCATCTATGAAGTTGTGCTTTAGAGGAACTATTTCGTGAAGAGCAACGACTTACGACACACATCATATTTCAACATCAAGCACACAAGAACATTATTGTATATACAAATCATAGAAGAGCTAAGGAAAAGACATGTAACAAATAAAATGTTACACATGCAAGGGTTTGCAAAGAAATTCTGCAACCAATGTACAAAGTTGGGACATATGATTAAGGAATGTCGGAACCATTTGCAAAATCGATAACCAAATTCAAAGTAGCCACAGACAAATCTAAAGTTGCTCCTGAAATGGTGCAGAAAATGATACTTAAAGCCCTATCTACTTTAGGATACACTATTCTTTTCATCCTGACTTATGGATTCAGTCATATGACTAGTACTTCATGCCTCCATAACATACGACTATATCATGGATCATCCTCAATTAAAATTCAATCAAATACCCCTATTAAAACTATGAGAGATATTAATCATATAATGAAAGATGCCCCATATCTCCTGCGCTCTCAACTAATCTCATCACAATTGAAAATTTTGATGCTCGATTTTCTCATAATGGTTGCATTATATGCTCGGTCAGGAGACAAAATACTCATAAAGGGGCATAAATGATGCAACCTAAGAACAAACATTGCTCTAGGAAAACAAATAAAAACACACATCATCTTTCATTCACATAAACCTTAAAATAATACAAACAAACACAACAATAAAGAAGTATTAACACCACTTACAACCTATAATAGAACAAGACACAACACAACATATAACTTATAATAAAACATGACACGACACAACTCAAAACTTACAATAGTTTTAGAGAAGAAAGATACAGGTGAAATGGAAACCGTGGAAAGAAGAATAGATAGAAGTCCGAGACGAAATATAAGAAGGAAAGGGAGAAGAAGATAGCTCGTAAGCTAGAAAAAACCCATAGGATTTGAATTATCACATTCCAAAAATTATTCAAAGTCTCTCTCTTTCTCTCAAAGAAAATCAGTCTCAATTTATAGGAGAAATAAGAGAGAATAGCATTTAATAGATCACAAAAATATGCCCCCAAAATAACCACTAGAAACCACTAAAACAGCCCACATATATAGAAGAAGGGGGAAAATGGTCATAAATCGCTCACTTCATTATTCCACCCAAACATCCAAATCCAATAGAAGCCTCTCAAGTTAGCCCATATAATGAGTTAACGCACTTAGTATAGGAAAACAACAAGGTGGAAATCGAACAGCCAGCAGAAGGGAAAAAGCAGGACTGCAGCATGGGGGAAAACCAGACAGCATAGGGAAAGCCAGCAACAGAGAAAACGGAATAGCAGCATGAGGAAAAAAACCAGCATAGGGAAAGCCAACAGTAGGGAAAATGGGACCAGCATAGGGAACACCAAGCAACCAGTAATGGGCCAAGCCCAATAAGGAAAAACAACCCAAAATTAATTACCCATTTAGCCACCAAAGAGCAAGGAAGCAAATTTAACATAAGTGAAAAGCCAATGGAGAAAAATTACCTAAGAGCACCAAACCCAAACATAATCATGGGTTGTTTTCCATCAAAGGATAATACAAATAAAAAGAAACATAGAGTCCAAATTACAAAGAGTCCAAAACATTAAAAAAAAATAAAAAAAAACATACAAAACATAGAAAAATAAAAGCATTGAATGATAATTCTTGATTGCATCAATAAAATTGGACAACTATTTCTCTTGTATCAACCAATTTCAAAGGTAGTTTCATTATCCAAGTAAATCAAAATAATGGTCTCTAACATAAAAGATTAATCAATCCAAGCTCTATTAATTTATCTCACCGAATAAACACTAATTTATTAGGAAAGAAAGATCAATTTACTTAAGTGATCACTATATGATTTGAAGCAGGCTCCCCAAACATGCTTTGATAATTTTTTATCAACCCCTCTTACTTTTCTTTTACACTAAATAAAGACGATTCATCATTATTATTCTATAAGACATCCAGTGGAATTGCCATGATCCTAGTTTGTGTTGATGACAATGACATCATTATTATTGAGATAGATTTGGATCTATTTAATCATCTACGTCAACACCTTTAAGCCACATTTCATATTAAAAATCTTAGGATCCTCACTTACTTCTTATGTTTGAAAGTACAGACCAATTCCTTTTATAAATTCCTAAATCATTATAAGTATGCACAGGATATAATTACTTTTGCACGTCTTCGAAATACTTCCCCAACAAATGTCCCATTAAGTAAACCCAATGTATAACAGTAAGAAAGGTGATCTTTTCTCTGATGCTAATTGGTAGGCAATTTAAATTATTTGACGATTATGAAATCGGATATTTTCTTAGTAGTTCAATAAGCAAATCAATTTATGCAAAATCAACGTCAACTACATTTGGTTGTCAATCGTAGAAT